CAAGCAGTAATTTTGTTCTCTTAACATTGAAAATATGAGTTTTTGGACACATTTTAAACATGAATATGCCCCCCTTTTTTCTGGCCTGTACTTATTGTAATAGTCTGTTTGTTTCAATAATAAAAAATGAAAAAGGAGCGGAGCCATTAAGATATCACGTCTTGGATGACAACATGGAAACATCGTAAAGAGCTTGTTGTATTAAGCTGATGAAGCTGCCCATGTAGTTTGAGAATTTCAACCCACATATAACACTGAAGTTCTGATGCATCAGCACTAATACTATTTTAGTTTAAAGGGTGGTCAAATTGCAGCACATTATAATCAGTGTGTCCATTCATTGTTTTTCCTCATAGTCAGACCAATCATTGCATGTCTATGCATGGATGTCGATTAATTTAACAGTCTAAAAAGTATTTCAATTATACTGTCTGAAAGCATTAAGAAATGCATTGTAGAAAAGCTTAACGCAATTAAACTGTAGGATAATATAAAATCAATAAATAAAAGATAACAAGGGGTCTCAAAGAGTACAGTGTGGTATATATTCATCAGCTTTTTCACAGCCTTCCTGGTGTTTTCTTTTTCAAATCATTTTAGAAAGAATAAGTCATGAGCTATGCTGCAGGGCTGAATGCACATGTGAGCTTGTCTCTGTGTTTGTGTGATTTACATGATACTGATGATGTTTGGGGAATTCTCTTTGGTTTTAAAACACAGAGGAAGCTTTGGCGAGGACAAAGCTTGAGTCATGAAGCCTGTAGCAAGGCTGTGGGGGTCGACAGTGATCCATAAAAGAAAATATATAAATACATATTAATATAGAAACAGAATGCTTATTTGGTCAGCTCTGAGATCAACCAGAGGATAATGATGCATAACACATGATGAATACTCAACATTTTGAGTATGTCTTTACTGGACACAAGACAATGGACAGAGTAAGATACTGGGTGGGGAAAGAGAGTGGGTAACAACATGCAGGAATAGAGCGAGATGTCAGGCCAAAGATGGGCCCTCTGGCCTCAAGGGTGCTGGCTTCTGTACTTGTGGCTTGCGCACCAACCACTAGGCTCCCGGCACCCCAAAACATCCCAGTTCAGGGAATGGCAAAGTTCAGGTGGCCTGCCTGGAGGCAAAGCATCCAACCAGGACAGTTCAGGGGGGCAGCCAGGAGGCCAACCAAACAGGCAGGCTAGGTCAGGGGGGAGACCAGGAGGTGTAGGCCTGGCCACCGGCAGGAACACATCAGTTCACAGGACTGCCAAAGAGTGCACAGGAGTGGACAGAGTTGCCAGGTCATCCAACGGAGACACATGAGTGAGCAGGCAGGACCTCCGATGAGAAAAGAGGAATTGGTAGGGCCTCCCATGGAGATACAGGAGTAGGCAGGACCTCTGATAAGGAAGCAGGAGTCTGCAGGGGCTCCCACGAAGATGTAGGAATGGGCAGGGAATCCCATGGAGGCACAGCAGTGGGCAGGACCTCCCACAGAGACACAGGAGTCGGCTGGACCGCTGACGGAGAACCAGGTTGGACCCCCCATTCTAAAACAGGGGGCTGGAGTCGCTCAGCCGGCACAGGGGGCAGACGGCGCTTTGCCGGGACTGGGAGCCGAAGGCCCTCTGACGGGAGCCAACAGCGCTCTGCCGGGACTGGGAGCAGACGACACTTTGCGGGAACAGCTACATGGGGAGTTCTAAGGCACTAAGGCACAGAGAGGCGGAGGCCTGGGCTGGTACACAGGCTGCTGAGGTAGAGGCTTCGACTCGAAACCCAGCTGCTGGGGCAACAGACACTCTGGGGTGCTGGGTAGTGGAGACAGGACATGATGATGGGTGCCATTCCTCTTTCTTTGGCCTCCTCGTGAAACAAGAAAATGGCCAGTCTAGTTCCAGCCCAGGGAGACTGTCTCAAATCAGCTCTGCTGCTGACATTCAAAGAAGCAATTCTAAAAATGCTTTGAATGTAGCTGATTTTGGAGAAAAGAAATCAAGCTTCTCCAAGGGGTCTGCTGGGTCCATAATTCTCAAACTCTCAAAATGTAAAAAATATAAAACCAAATCAGACCAAATCATGACATAATATTCACCTTTAAAAGAAAAAAACCCTGCAGTGCTCTTGCTCAGCATTATAATTTATCAGAAAATACACAATGTTTCAGTCCCTCTGGACCTTTGCCAAATGTGCTCTCCACACTTTCCACAAGCAACAGTATGTATCTTTTTTTTGTATCTAAAATAAAAGTTCCAAAGTCCCTATATATGATCAATAACTTTCAACAGGGAGAACAGCGTCTCTCCCATGTACAAAGTGGTCCGATCGACTCTTTTTAACACTACGTAACTTGGACAGCAGGCCGCGGTTTTCTGATGGATGAAGCTGGGAAGAGAAAAAGACAACTTGACCTGGCAAGAAGCTGAAACCAAAGGAACTATTGGACAAGCTTTACACAATGGCAAGAGCTTCGCAAAACAGCAGCCGCCTATCAAGTTTGATACCGAGCTGGCTATGTCAAAACCTTGTGTGTTTAACAATAGTGCAGTTGCACTCAGAGACCTTTGGTGGGCGCCAAAGCGCAGCAGATTAAATTCTTACATAATGTTGCTTTGAAGGCTTCAGTGATCCCTCCTGTGTACCGGCTTCATGAGATGTGCAAACACCTCCTTCATCACAATACCAACAAAATGAGGTAAAATTAAAGCAAAAAAGTTGTCTTTTAATTTATTTCATTATTATTCACATGAACGTCTCTTCTGACAAATAGCAGAAAGTAAAGGTATGAACCAACAATATTCACAAGTATAGGGAAATTAGGATAAATATAGAAATACATTCTTTGCATTATGCTGATTGATAATATTGGACAGATAAAAATGACTGGATTTTTTCACATTATCATTTGCCAGTGTAGGTCAAGTGTTATTAAAATGTAAATAAGAATAATCTCATGTTTGTTTTTAACAATGCCTAGTACAATTATAAATGCTTCCAATTGTTTTAATAAACTGTAACTATTAATTACTTAATCAAACCTTGTCCTGTGTCTCCTGTATAGTTTCGCTGTAATCAGTCTTTTTCTGAGCTGAATCTGACACATAGACTCATGCAACAGTTTACTGCTGTTTCTAAAAACATTCAATAAAAACATAATTTAATTAGATGTGTCTCTGATATACATATACATATATATACATATATATATATATATATATATATATATAAAAACAAGATATACTCATCTTATTGCCTCTTGGCTTCTGTGTGTTACTGCTCTCTACAAAGACATTATGATCAGAGGGATAATGGTTCCTGATTTTATTTTGCAAGGAGTATTTTGTAAGTAATATTCTCTTACAGCATCCTGCTTTATAATTTGATGAAGTCAGACAGATCTCATGTCTGTCACCTAAAGGCAGGTATCTGACAGGGTGGCAGGTTTCATTTGAACTTACACTAATGCTGTTTTACCTGCCAACATGCCTCAGACTCTTTATAAAAAAAACAATTAATACCTTACTGATAGGTTTTGGTCCGGAGGCAGTTGAGGTGCTTACACGTTTCCCACAGGATGAATCCGTGACAGTCGAGGTGTAACATTAAATGGCCACTGCAGAAGCATCTGTAATTACAACAAAAATGTCTTCATATCTTGAAGCGTTAGCTTACAGTACAAATCAAGATTTAAACACTAAGCATGAGGCCTTTTCACATACTCCTATGCGAACATGATGGCGTATAATACAAAGATCTGGTTAAGTACTCTGACCCTTTTCAGATTTCAGTCGAGTAGTCGATGTTAGAAGATTAGGAAAAATAAGATAATAAACTCCAATAAGAGTTGCCATGTTTCAGTAATGCAGATGCTGTCATTTCATGTAATACCCACAAATTATTTTAAAGAAGTTAAACGTTTGCTTTTATAGATCTGGTGCATCAAGATGATTAATGCATCATTGTGCATTGTGCAAGTGGTTAACTATAACTATTATTTACATGATGTTAAATTACATTTTAAACATATTTTTGTCAATCTGTTACTTGTTTAGGCCTCAAATCTTCAAGGGACATGGACTTGTGTCACATTTATGGCAACATCTGAGATTACTCACAAAACAATAAATCAATCTTGCTTCTGCAACTGACTGGTTTATTTTTTCTTCTTATAATGGGATGAAAGTAATCTAAAGACATTGTTGTTTTTTTTACATTACAGATAGTTCCTTTTAGTCAATAATAACTTAACATGACATCTTCTCCTGAACCTGCCTTTTTGCAATTAATTTATTTTTGTTCATCCTGGGATTTCAATGGTCTTGTTATTTTCTATAAGTTTTCCTTTAAACAAGATGTAGTAATAACATCACACATGAGCTTCAAAAAGCTCCTACAAAACGTCTTTCATCTTGAACCATATAATACACAGAACTTATTGTCTTTCAGTAACAAAAATTAAAAGATCTAATAGCTTTTGTTATTTCAGCACCAAGGTTGAATTTAATATTGCCGGGGGGAAAAAACAACTTTTTCTTTTTTTTTTAATTAGTCAGGGTCAGACTGGTGTTGTCATGCTGCTATCTAAGAACTGTTTTTTGTCTGAATGTGAATTGTTGTCTATATGTGTGTGTGTGTGTGTGTGTGTGTGTGTGTGTGTGTGTGTGTGTGTGTGTGTGTGTGTGTGTGTGTGTGTGTGTGTGTGTGTGATTGACAGCTCTGACAGTTCTGGCAGTTATAAGATTCTGAGGTGGGCGTTTTGATTGATGCGTCCAAACAGGCAGCAACCCTAGATTAAACCCTCCACTCCACAACACACACACACACACACACACACACACACACACACACACACACACACACACACACTTGTTCTTCATATTTGAATTCTTAAAATTCAAAGTCTTCTTGAAAAAAAAGTGTAAACAAACAAATCAAGTATGCAAATATGAACTGTACATATTGACAGAAAATAAGATTGTGACTGTGCTAAATGATATGATTTATTCAACTGACATGTTTACAACTATACTCTTATAGACACTGCATGAATAAATAGATAGCTCTAGTTCCACTGTCAACAGACGACATTTTCAATTCTGCATTTAAAAGTAGACTTCTTTTGTTTCTGAAGCTTTTTTTATATATATATACATATATATATACATTTATCACACAAAAATACAGAATCATTGCAATTTACGACATATAGCCACAAACGTGTCAGAACGTGACCTGACATTGATTCTTTTCTGTGTGCGTTCAGGTTTGTGAATGAACCTAAACCACGACACACTCAGGGTGAGGCTTTCCAGATGAGAAGGAACGTTTACATTCACATTAAAGTTCAATGAGGTTGCCTGACACTTTGCATAGCATCAGACCAGCAGTCGCCAGATGTAGTTTGAAGCTGACGTCACATTAATGACAGATCATAAATCCCATAACTCCTAATTATGTTTCAGGGTTAGGAAAGGGTCAGGCTGGATTAATATATTTTACTGCATCCTCAGCATATTTGGCTACATACAGGGATCAGGTCCCCTTCACCCTAAAGAATAACTAAGGCCATCTTGCTTGTAAAGGGTAAGGCTTGGGTGATATAACATTTTTTTCGTACCAAATCGATTGAAAAATATTAATTTATTGATCCAACTAACACGTATTGTCTGTGTAACTGAAGCCTGATGTTGCTTGTTACTATTTATGAATGACATATTTCCTTTTCAGGTAACCATGGACACCGTTGGTCAACATGAGTTCAATATACACCAACCTGCTGCCTAAATATGCTAATCTAATGCTTCACTATAGTTTTGTAGCCCCAGTTTTTAGAAGTTAAATCCTTCAGAAAGAATGAATGTGCTGTGGAGCTTAAAGCCAGACATAGGGTAAGAAGACAGACAATACCAGGAGACATACTGAAACTTCATTGGATTTGGTGTTCATTTTTGACAATCAAAAGGATATAGAATACCACAAGCCTTATCCTTTAACTAAAAACAAGTATAAACAAGTGTGTCAAACTCATTTATTCGTCACAGCTGACCTTTAAGGCAAGTCTAAAGCTAAAAACAACAATCAGAGGGGAGTTCAACACATAGAAGTCAATTGGACAATAACAACACTTAACAATGTCATACACCACTGTACAAAGTGATAGCCTCTGTACTAAATTCCCCTTATACTGAGCAGCAGGGTAAATGGTTGTTTGAAACAACCAGATCTGGAAACGTGGGAGACATTTGGATGTTTGCGTATGAGGGTGCTCAGTAACATTGTTACTTTCCTCACTGAGAGTCACAACACACAGTGTAAAACAAACCCTTTCCAACCTCACTGCAGCATTAATCAAATGTCCTGAGGGCTAATCAACTGGGGATGTGATCGATAATGACCAGTGCTACTGACACCATCCTGGGAGGAGCAATCATTTCCTGTCTCCGCTAACCTGCTGTGGCTGCCCAGTCGATACAGGTTTAGGATGAGCAAATGAACTGTCATACACTCACACAATTACACAGACAAGAACACATCCACACAAATGATAAAAGGGAGATAACTTTGGAGAGATCATTTTAAAGGACCAAGTAGATCTTTTAAATATATGAACAAAGTTTGCTGTTACACTCATCAACGCTTGCGTCTAGATCTTAGAATTTCCATATACTTCCAACTGTTAAATTGAAATCAGATGTGCTTCATTGTTGTCAATGTATTGTGGTGTGGAAATGCACGTTATAAAAATACAATACATGACATCAAAATGAAGCTAAGTGCTACTTGGAATGTAAACAGAAAAAAAAAAAAAATCCAGGTCATACTAGATCTGCATAAATAAGGGGTTGTAAGGAAAACTGGGGTTCTAGTAGAAATAAATTCATACTCTTTCGGATGATTATTCAGTCCATATTAATGTCTAGTTAAAATATTCAGTGCCAAAATGTTGAAGTTCAAGGCTGGGGAGGATGTTTAATGTGTTTCCAAAATTCGACAGCTACATCTGTGTATTACTTTACATGACCAATTACTGATGATTGTGAATTATATATCATCATAGCCAGCCGCACTAATCTACGTTTTTATTTAAAAATGTTGATCAAACAGTGAACTACTTAAAAGAAGATAATAATAGTAATACACTTTGTATAGTGCATTCTTCATCCCATTGTTTCAGACTACCTTAATATTTCGGTTCATTGATTGCTTGAATTCCTTTTTTTCTCTGTAGGTGAAAGAGACAGCTATCAGTCTAGCTTGGTAACACTAGTACTGGCAAAAAGCCTCATTTATCCCCAATGTGCCTGGTAATGGAACAAAAAGGAGTGTGAATATTGGGTTTATCTTTGTAAGGTTGGTTTTGATTTTACATCAGCTATCTGGCAACAGCAACAAGAACATATAACAGTACACTGGCACACGAGTTGCAACTGTTCAAATGGTTTCCCTTTGGAAGAATGGCCGCAAAATTGGGGGCATCAATAGCTCAGTCTACTTGGACTTGGATTAGGAATCCGAGGATTGCCGGTGCAAATCCAGGTTAGGAACAAGTCTGTAAATTGTAAATTGTAATAGTTTAGGTTGTCATGACTTTGTTTGCTGCATTTTGCTGTTGCATTTTATTTTCTTGGTAGGGCTTGGTCATTGCATCCTTTTGTATTTACAGCGCATTAGCTATTAATATAGTTGTTTTGGCTTTTTGCTAAACAGTGCCATACGTTTCTGTCTTTCCATTGTTTATGAATTTTAGTTTCTCGTAATGTTATTCCTTTGGGTTGTTGCAGCTTGTTTCTCCTTGATGTTTTACCTGCCTGTAAAACTAACCGCTACTCGAAATCGTTCATCCCCTCTGCGCTCAGATTACTGAATGCTCCATAGGCTTTATTTTTATTTATTTATATTTTCACTCCTTGTGAAATCTGTTGTTTTTACCTCATCTTGTCTTTATTTATGTTTCTTTCTCATATGTACAAGCGCCTCCACACCAATTGCCCCAAGAGGGATTTAAAAATAGTTTGAATTGAATTGAATGTTGGCCACTCTAGAATATTACAGAAATATATATATATATTTTAAAATGTTGATAGTGAATTTTACAACTGAACAACACTTCTCGTAGCCTTTGTCCAGCCATTGTCCATAATTTACTACGATGACGTGTCTGCACTGTATTTCTCTGGTTACAAACCATTCATATACCCATTTGCTATTAATGCATATTTTCATCACATTATTGTTTCTACTCCCACTGACATCTAATTTTGGTCAATTGCAGTCTTACCATGTGTGTAAAAATCTCTCAGTGAACACTGTGTTTACACTGTATTTCTATATTATTATTACTGCTATCATTATTTATATTGTAATTTTTAAAACCCCAGTATTTTTCTATTTTTCCAACTTGCTTACTTTATTTAATTTTTCTCCTTTTGACCTGATGAAACAAGTGAATTTCAACAATGGGAGATCAATAAATCGTATCGTATCTTGTCTTGTTTTACCATAATCTGGTCTCTTGCAGAATCATCCAATGTCAACCTTTAGGTCGAGAGTTTAGATATATGCACTTGCTGTGTCTGTAATGAGAGAATATGATTAGGAGCAAGGTGAGCAGACCACATGAAACAAGCAAAACAGAAAATAATCTGAACTAAAAACATGGCATTAACTTGCAATTCAGAACAATGTATTTATTTTTACGACACAGGCCTTAAAAATATTATTGCTTTATTAGTAAGAGTACCCTATGCAAACTAAAAAGTTAAGGTCTAAAAATGTTCTGGAGCATTCCCCCTGATATCAGTCATCATAAGTGCATGTACGTCATCACAGACACACTGCTATGCGGACATGAATACTTGGTTAGATATTGCACTATTCTCATGACCCACAGCAAATCTGCACAAATTGTCAAAGAAAATTAGTTTTCAAGCTTTCATTGTTTTTGCCTGAAGGTCCCTTTGAACAACGAAGCAGCACCTAAATGAAAATGGTTGTAGCTGTTACAGATTCAAAGTCAAAACAAAAAATGAATGAGTGTGGTATGATACAGCTGATGACAGTCAACCTCTTGGTTCTAGGCAAAGGATGTTAAAAAGGAAGGAGGCACCATGCCATCAGCAGTAAACAAACTTGTAGAATCACGTGGAACCCACAACCGATTTCAGTGGATGTGGCTTCCAGTGTGGCAGTAACAAGTTTCCTGAAGAATGTGGACGCCTCTCTGATTATTCCTTCTTCTCCAATTTCCTTGGTTCTACTTTCCTTTGTGCCCGTGTTGGCTAGTCTGGACTTAAAGCCCCATCATCACTGAGGATCTCAGCGTTGTTGAATGTCCCAGCGAGCGACGCACCCAAGGCCTGGTTGACAGGTGCCATCTCTGAAAGAATTATGTTATCATGGTTGCCCACCAAAGTAGTTTTGTCCATGATCTCCTTGCTATGCTTGGACACCACAGCATCCAGGAAGTCATACTTGTGTGATAACATGCCGCTTTCAAATAGGTACTTTGTCAGGTAAGAAAAGGCCACATTGGCCAGGAAGGAGGCCAACATGGAAACAGACTTGAAAGGGAACCTCTGCTGGACAAAATGCTCTACATCCCCGGTGAGGTGATGGATCCTCTTCTGCATCACCCAACCAGGGAAGAAGATGAAGGGAGGAAGCTTGAGGTAAGGCTCCCCTCCACCAATGCGTAGCAGTAGACCAAAGATATAGCCAGCCACAGAGCCATAGGTGTTGGTGCCCTTGACGAATAAAACACTGAGAAGTTGGGGAAAGATGATGACGTAGACCAAGTCGGAGCTCAGGTACCAGAGGCCATACACGGATCCTGTCAACAAGGCCATAGCGGTGGCAAGAGCTCCGAATACAAAGATTGTGATGCGCATCACCCAAACAATCTCCCTGTCTGAGGCCTGTGAGAGAGAAGGAAGAGATAAGCGTGAAGAAGGAATTACTAAATGTTGAGTAGAGAAATATGTTAGTATGCTAAGAGATGTCAAAATGAAACAGAAGTAAGAGTGTAAATAATTATCTTTCAGGCTTTACTCTGGAACAACTTGCCTAAAGTTAAAATACCAATCTGCTGGTTTTAAGCAGATATACCAGACACATATTACTGTCTTAATTTAGTTTTTAAGCATGCTGAGACTTGCTTGACAGGATTGAACATGAAGTACAGCTGATGGAACTGTCATTAGTTTTGCAGATATTTGGTCATGAAAGTAATTATTGGACAAATGCAACATAATTAGCATAAATGAGCTATACTTGATCTGCTTTCATTTTTGAAATAATTAGATGCGCAGATGCCCTAGAGGTTAGGTCCCTCCCTCATTTCGGAGGCTAGTCCTCCTTGAACCCTAGGCCTAGGTTCAAGTCCGACATGTGGCTCCTTTCCCGTTGCGGATGAGGCTCAGTGGTAGAGTCGGTTGTCTCGCAACGGTCGAGGGTCTGACCCAAACCTAGCCACATGTCGAAGTGTCCTCGGGCAAGACACTTTGCAAATTGCTCTCTCTGCAGCATCTGGGTAATACTGATACACTTTGCATAGCAGCATAGAGGGTGAATGGCAAGCGGTGTAAAAGCGCTTTGAGTTGTCAGAAAACTAGAAAAGCGCAATAGAAGCTCAAGTTCAGTCACCATTTTTCCATGTCTTTCCCCAATTTCATACTCCTACTGTCCTACCTATTAAAGGCAAAAGCACAAAATTAAATCTTAATTAAAAAAATAAAAAAACACACAAGTATATTTTCAGTGCTTTTGAATCAGAGCTTGTCTGTTTGAATACTGACTCAAGTTTTGTGTCTGCTTTTGCATGTTCAGCAGGTACAATAATAACAGAATCCATTTATGATATTGTTATTTGTTCCTTTGAGACAACATCTGACATGTTAGACAGTAGTGTAGTGGTGCTTTAGGAAGTGGCTATACTCTTAAATTCCCCCCCAAAGGTTTTTTTCTTTAAGTGACCTGCCCAGCAGAGGATAAATGTTCTCTGTTTTGAACAGTTACCTGTAAGACTACTCTTGCATATTTCATTAGTGCATACTAGCCAATTAGAGACAGAGTAGGGAGGGTCATCCCTTCACCATCCTAAAAATTGCAGCATGTATGCATGTATATTATCGACCAATCATTGGTTTGAATCGGAGGAGATTTAGAAGTGGGTATACCCTATGGGGACTGAGAAATAAGTGGGTATACTCGGTATACTTGTTTATATCCTGCACTACACCACTGACGTTAGTAGTCCACTGGAATGAGATATAATTGATTAACAGAACATTTCAGTGATGCTTGCAACAACTGGCATCAAACTGTGCACATGTGTGTTTTGTGATATAATTTGTACTCTTACCGACTGCCGAAATGCGAGCTGATAGATGTTCCGAGCAAACATGGAGCTAGCTGAAAGAATGGATGAGTCAGCTGATGACATGACAGCAGCAGACACCGCCCCAAGACCAAAGAAGGAGATGTAGGGTGGGCAGAGATGCTGAAGCACGATTGGAAGGATCATGTCTGATTGATCCTTGTCCTTCGGAGCGAGTGAGCCATAAGAAGTCTGGTTCCAGTCTAAAAGACAAAATGAGGAACAAATTCAAACATGGTTGTTGTGAAAGAGGGACTTTTTCATATTAAGGCTTAAAAACCTGTTAAGACACAGCAGTAACATTCTCTACCTCCTAAAATCTTTGTGCCAAATAGAAATGACCAGTATGCCAAAATCATTCAACTAAATCATTGAACTAAATTCAAACAAACATACAAGAAATAATGAAACTCGTATATATATCAATGAAGTTGACTTTAAGTCTTTGGCACATTTTCCAATTCTGAGCTTAATAACATTTTGTTCCTGGGCAACTAATGGAATGTTAAGAGGAATGATTACTACATTACAATATTTGTACCGATACTTTAGCCTTTCAGAAAGCTCCCTGTGGTTGTACCTGTTTTAGTTGCTGAGAAACAAAGGAGCTGAAAATGTGTTTTTATGCTGGATTAAAGCAGAGGTTATCAATATAATGTTTTGCTGTAAGACGAATACAGCAACAGTAATAAAAGGTCAGGGGAAATTATTTTAAAATATGAATATTCAAGACATATTAATTGGTTTTTACACTCGATTGTGCCTTATGGGCCACTGGTCTGGATTTGAAGTATGAGCTAGAGTTACAGAATACATTATTTAGTTTAATTGGATTTTAATGATACATTTGATCTATAATCACTCCATGAATAATGATTTATGTGTGAACCTATCCATTTGTTCTCAGGAGAGACAATTCAAGATGATTCATTACAGAAGTTTTAGTATTTTGCCAAAGAAAACACTGAATACCTACAAAACTGACAAGTGAAAGGGCAATTTGAAAAGCAGCTAAGACAGCAACTCAGTAGCTGCTTTAAGGACCAAGAAACACGACCACGGCTTAAATTCTGATGGAGCGAAATGTTGTAAACCATGAGTAGTTCAGATTGCATGATAACATATTAGTATGATCATATTTGAAAGCAAGAACTTAACCAAAGTATAGCTAAGGCTGGTGACAGATTTGTCAATGGTTGTTTATTAGTGTCTAAGGATAAAGATAATTAGGATTCATCCTCTGAGAATGAAGCATGTCTCTTGTCATCATGTGTCCACTCTACTGTTGTCTCAATCTTCACATTCAGTGGGAAAGCATTTGAACTCATATCTCTCTTTGCCTATTAAAACCCATGACATTCCTCTGTCTTTCTGCCACATTTTTTATCCTCTTCCTCAGCCTCCAAAGTATACATACGCTCCCTCCCCTGGGTATTCACAAGCCGCGGTTGACTGGCACCAGTTCTACATGAAACAGCTTCGGCACAGATTAATTAGCTGCTCTTCAGATGTAATATTCACTAAATGGGCATGGTCTGATGGCTCTCTCCTCTACCCAACGTGACAGGATCCTTCTGATGTTGTTTACCCTCCAGATACTTTACGCATCTACATTAACACATCTGAAAAAAAGAAGAGGAAGCTGTTGGGGTGTAAACAAGCCAGGAAGTCATTGTGTTCCTTTTGATCACAGTTTCCTGTTTGGATAAAGGATCAGATTTCCTGGATGTTTCCATTGTCTTATGATGTTTCATTTACTGATTCATCAATGTGTGTGTCTGTGTGTATGCACATCACAGTCTGATATGTTTATTTGGTAAATAACAGCTGCTTAGCTGCTTGGCTGTGTGTGTAGAATAGAAATACTGTATAAGATTCTACTTAAGTCGTTTTTAAAGCCATCTTTAGGAATCCAATCGAGATGCAAAAACTATTTGCTGTAAATTATGATCAATACTAATTAGCTTATATCAAGTTCTATCCCAAAACTAACATGTACGTTAGTATTTTTCACAATGAAGCTAATGCATGAAGCAGATGAGAATCAAAGTATTCATACATTTAACAAAATAATCATTCAAGTTAAACCAAGTATTTTTAAGTCAGAAAAAATATATAGCATAAGCTCCGTCCTCTTGATTTAAAAATCAAACTGTTTTTATCCTCTTTAAATATTTATGAAGTAAAAGGTTTAATAGTTTATTGGTATTTAGTGCCCCAAAACATCTCTAATATAAAGCAGAGCCATGATTTATGCGTGTATATTTACCAGTGGAGGCCCCTATAGCTCCTATGAGGACAGAGGGGACAGCCATGACCAAGCAGCCGAAGGCGGCGAGGAAGGAAAGGACCTGGGCGTAGGTTGCTGAAGAGGCAGAGAGAACCCGTTGAAAATAGACCTGCCAGGGAATCCCCCCCAAAATCTAGAAACAGAAACACCACAGTCAATACAGACAATAAACCAATGCACAACAATCAGCAAGACCAACACAGCAGAGCTCTTACATTTACTCTTAGCACAGTAAATGAACAAATCTTTAATGGAAGTTTTCTTTCTGTCATACATAACAATACTGATTATGTAATAATAATAGCTATTATTTACATTAAAGGGTCAATATCCATCTTAAACAACCTTAAAACTGAAATACTGTTACAAAACTCCATGCCTAAAAGACTTGACACTGAATGTGTGTATACATTTACTTTTTCCAAAAGTAGACTATTGATGCGCCCTGTTCTAAATGAATGGCCTACCAGCAAAAAGAAGTTGTCTGCCCAGAGCCATTTGTCTTCAGGCTCAATCTTCCCCAGCCAGGGTGACTGGTAGACTTCTTCCTTGGCTGTAAAACTGATGTCTGTGACGGCAGGATTGGACAGGGCAAAGGGCACGCTGACCCACTGTGTGGTAGGAGGGTAGCAGAATGCAAATATTACAAATGATTCAAAGGTCCTTCTTTGAATTATTAAGACATTAGAAAAACCTATTGAATTAACCTTTTGAAAAATACAGTTACAGTAGCAGATTTAGTCTTACAGCTGAAACCTTTTTTTAAATCAAACGGCAAACTAACCAGTGATTTAATTTATAGTCACATCAATAGTTATTGTTTGGGTAGATGTTGACAGTAAGACTCACCAAGCCCAGAAAGATGCAGAAAAGCTGGACCACATCTGTGTATGCGACAGAGTAAAGTCCTCCCACGAGTGTGTAAAAGATAGCTATCAGGGCTGAGATCACCACTGACATGTTGATGTCTATGTCCACGATCACACTCAGAGTGGCACCTATGGGACAAGATACACTTAACAATTACATTCTGGAAAAAGTGCACTGACTATGACAGTTTAATTAATGTATTACTGGTATCAGCCTTTTTCGTGATTCTGTCCAATCATCTCTTACCAAGGGCTGATAAAATGGCTGCAGACCAGAAGATTTCCCCCATGAGTGCGGGGATGAAGAGTAGCCCCCCCATTCTTTCTCCATACAGCTGCTGGAAGGGATCCAGCATGGTGACATAGCCACGGGAACGCATAGGCTTTGCAAAAAAAAGGCCACCTGAATGTGTCAGACATGACGGTAAGAGTATAAGAAATAATTTCAGAAAATGTATTCAACAATGGTTGAATTGAAGATGGCCAGGGCTGTCAAACGATTACAACTTTTAATCCTGATTAATTAACAACATTTTAATAGTTCATTGTGATTAATCACTTTTTTTTTTCATCCCATGTTTAAAATTCCACTAATTACCATTTAAAAATAAAAAAAATGTCAGGCATTTTATTTTGAATTTTGTACTTCCTTAAGCTGCAAGTAATTTACTTGCTCTTTGAATTTATCCCTGCTTTTATTTTGAAATAAAACAACCTTCTAATAGATAGAAGGTTGCGACAGTACAGTAACTTAACAACAGTTTAAAAGTAACTCGTAAAAATCAAATACTAAATGAAAACAACTAAAAGGAACGACAAACAAAATTAAATGTGCAGCAGTGTCATTGTTTTCCATAACTGTAACTACAGAGAGGCACTGCTTATCCATGCGCTTAAAGGGACAAAATAGCATGCGATTAAAACAATTAATGTACTCGTGCGTAACATGGATAAAAAAATCCTCAATGATTTAATGTGCACCAGCTGTTTGTTAATGTAGATTGTGCTTGACACTTTACACACACTTCCTTTTAAGATCACAAATGAAACATTTAAAGACACTGGTTCTTACCTACGACTAGGCTGAGAGCATAACCAAACGGAGCCTGTGCCCAAGCCAGGCCATAGTCTGGAAGGTAGACATATTCTGCTGTCCCATTGATGTAGCCCCCACCCACCCAAGTGGCTGTAAGCAAGAAAAAAAACAACAGTGAATGACCACAAAAAAAAAACTAATGTAAGAAATATAGAATTAAACATATAGGAATAGTTTGGTGCATTTCGAGTTGCTTTAGAGGATTAAAATAACACAAACTTTACAAGTTATGTTAGTCCATTTGTAGTCTTAACCTCAGCCTGCAGCTGTAATTGCAATTTGGCATGGCATCCATTTGGGTGTCAATCAAAAATAACACTTGACCTAAATTAAAGTAGTAGTTTAGAAAACCAGCAGAACTGTCCGATAATAAAATAGTATGTTTTTAAATATTCAGACATAAAGACCACAAATTTGGTTTGTAATTGTGGCAGCAGTGCTGTCCGTGCGTAAAAGACGAAGTAAGGGAAACATATTGAGTTTTTTTTTTTTTTTTTACTTTAATGACACCCATGCGACTTTTCCACACACGGCTAATGTTGACCATTAACCAACCAATACAAATTTGGGTGAAACCTAGTGCTAAACCAACTCACCGGTCATTGTGAATCCTCCAACAAACAATCCGATGTCCCTTCCTCCGACCATGATGATCTCGCTTCGGTCAACGCCTTCGACCACTCCGGAGTTCTTATTTTTCCACGCTGCCCAGATGCCCACAAACAGAATCATGACATAGAAAATCACGATAGCCACAAGACCTTCGGCGTGGATGGCCATCCTTCTTTCGTCAGCTTTCCCCGCCGAGATCAAGTGCTAGTACGCGTGGATGGCTGAAACCTCATCAAGGAACTGAAGAGAAGAGTAAAAAACACATATCATCGGATGAGATTGACTTATATTTGAGGTACATATGTCACAGATGACACCACGTGACACGACTTTAAATCAGGTTTATTAACACCATAGACAGACTGTAATTACATTATAACTAGTGCTTTGGTCATTACTTCCATGCGCACGGAAAAATTACTGAAATAATCTGAAACAATTGTCAGCTTGAACATCAAACATTTATTTATGGTTACCAAGTTCTCAAAGCTCAATATCTTATTTGTTTTTATTGTCAGGCGTTCAAGGAACCCACTTTACATTTCACGAATCGGCTCTCAGTGCTTTCAGTTAGGATTACAAAGTATTTAAGATTCGGGGATTCGACTTTTACGCACCGATCATCTTCTCCTTTAGTTAAAGAATATCCAGCTATGGCAATAATCTTCCTCTGTCTCAAAGGGAATATAATCACAGGTCAATCCTAAATATTTCCAAACTAAAGTTAAGAAGATTAATTTACAGTTAAAGCTCAAATGATGAATCTCCATGAGTGAAAAATATATTTTTTTCAAATTTTGGTACAACCCAGGAAATAATTTCAGAGTCTTTTTGTTTGTAGCTTCCTTCCAGTTAAATAGAACTTGAGTGTGATTAAGTCCCTGCAGCAACATATGCAAACTGCTTGCACATCCCCCGTCGTTGCACATATTCAGAACGCAACATTATAAAGTATGGAACCAAGCTGGTGCCAAAAAGGCTGTTTGATTTAAACAAATGATCTACATAACTGCCATTTTCCCTTCAATCCTGTCAAATCACATTGATATAGGAAGGTAAAAGCGTGAATGAATCGTGACCATACCTTGCCGTTTCCAACGGACGCATACAGAAAAAGAAGTGGGACAACCGGCACTCCATCGTCTGTTATGAATCAGAAACTTCCTCACTATTAGAACTGGTCAGAATAAATTGCCAACTATTAGAGTTACATATGTGTCCAACTTTTAAGACATTTGGAGATGTTTAACGCACGCGCTGCTGCCTTACTTACACAGTTTAAGCAGTTTTTGTGCCAGGGCATTCACGCCATGTCTTTTCATTTATTTTAAAAAAGTGTCCAGGCTTCTTTGTAGCGCAATCTCGTTTTCAAATTAGGACTGGCGTGATTTTTCCGTGTTGGACTGCCGTGCGTAAAAGTCAATTGATGCACCACAGTCGTGACGCAGCGCAAAGAAACTGCAAACTCTTCACTAAAAAACAGACTTAAAATGTTTTCTGTCCGATGGGCTGAATCCCTGGATTCAAACCTGTGGGCTTCAGCTTCCAATTGCGCTTACGCCATGGTTCCAAACGGCCAGTATGCATTATTGATCCTTCTTAAATCAACATCTGTCAACATGGTTAAATGCAGTTACAGTCGGCCAGAACATATTAATGAAATAAAAGACTTCTTAGAAATTCTTACCTCCTGCGGAGAAAACCAACTAGATCTCAGAAGCAGGACCTTCAGAAGAGACTGAAAACGTGTCAGACTATTTTATGTCAAATAAATGTTAAGGAACAACAAAGTAATCCTCTAGGACGACAAAACACAAATCTCGTATGTTGTTTTAAGCCACCACTGCTTGTCGGCAAGAGAGGAGAGACGGAGAGGGAGAGAACGAGGGAGGGGTGGAGGTGGGTGGAAGGGTGGAGATGAATGGGAGTGGTGGGTTTATTGGGTGCTGTCAGGGTGTGTAGACTGTGGATGAATGTCTTCCAGGGCAGGACGAAAATAGCGTCTAATAGAGAGTGGCATGACGCACAACCTCTCCGGGAAAGCTTTCCAATATCATAATGTCGTATTGGCTATGAATGAAACCTTTACTTTGCCAGGTTACAGTTCAGGCCTGATTTACGATCTCGCGCAGCCCCAGCCTTTATTCTACTGACGCTGGAGCGTGGCAGCCCCACATACGATTATTCTTTTGTTTTATGACCCTCCTTACTCGTGCAACTCTGTTTACCCCGCCTAAGACCACTTCACTCAAAAGTTATTATATTTCAACTGTACCATAAAATCCAACCAGACCTATAATATTAGACGTTCATTAAGAGGAATGCGCAATGGCACATTTAAGCGTCTTACTTGTCAAACGCGTAATGGGTTTTCCTCAAACCTTGACGTGAATGTATTTTCCGTTGGTGCTACGGGTATGCGGTTTACCTACTGTATGGTATTACCTTCATTCACAGGACAGGCCTTCAAACCACAAAGAAAATACGGATTTAATATCTACCAGCATCTACTATCCCTTCAAATGTGTTTCTTCACTACTGATACTCTGTTCAGGAAGGAGATTTCCTTGGAGCTGTCAGGCGCTGTCCATGGTGCTGACAAAACAACTAATTGCAGACCCAGGAACGAACATGGAGACACATTATTCTCTCTCTCTCCCCCCTCCCCTCTCTCTCTCTCTATATATATATATTCGATGTAAAGGAAGATGCTGACTGGTCTGACTGCTGGAAATAAATAAAAAAGTGCTTGCTTGAATTGTATCACGTTGTCTTGATGGTGTGTTTGTGTGGTGTGTGTCTGTTTCTTACAGACATCTAATGAAAGGTTTCCTATCCTTAGAAGTTTTTTTCGGTTAGTTTAAGTCAGAAAGATCTTTTTCCTCTTCCAGAACAGTATTTTTTCATTTACTACTGACGGCTTAACGATTGCTTCTGTATGTTGTGTCATTAAGCTGTGGCATACACCTTACCTTCCTGCTGAGGGCTTTGGGCTTCATTTTAGATAAACCTTTGTCGCCCTCCAGTGGCGTTCTTGAGCTTGACTTAATTCTACATTGAAAGGAAAGGAATCAGGGGAAAAACATATTTATAGGTTAATGTGTGGACAGGGAAATTAAAGTTAAACAAAGCTACACTGGAAAGTCTAGTGCTTAAAACTGCAGCAAAGTATTTGACTGTAGAAATAATCTGATCAGTAAATAATTGCTTACTGTCAGCCTGAACAATGAGTGAACATGAACAAATATGCAGCTTTATTAACAGCTGTTTTTTATTTTTTTATCAGGCATGTATATTTGAATTATGAGTCTGTGCTAACATTACTAGAAACGAACATTTGTTGTTTATTTTTATTTTTTTGGCATTACATATTGAATGTTGAGATAATAAAGAACAATGTCCTTCAAAACTGTGACCTAAGAATTGGCTTTCATAAAAAGTAAATCTCAACACCAAGGTAGGTTACAACAAGGACATGGCAGAACAATTGTTATCCATTAACATGTTTGTTACAGCAAAGAGAATGGACTCTGATGTTGTCCCTTCTGTAGCTTTTGCAGTCAAATGTTGCCATCTTCTGGTCTATCAGGTTCACAGCACCACGTTTATGGTGGTCAAATTAGGATGCCTTTTCAAAGTTGGCGTCAAGAGTTTGATCAAACATGGTTATGTACCATGCGGTTAAGACAAATACAGATGTTTACAGGTAAAAACCTATAAAAATAAAGACAATTACAGATATAAAGCTGAAAAAATATCAAAAATAAGTGGCAGTTTTTATCTTTAAGTCTTTTTTCTTACAGCCTTTGTGGCTTTTAAGTTACTGTGCTATTGTTTCGTCCAGTTTTAGACGTAGTTATTGAGCCGGTAGCCGTTGCTGGAAAGAGAGCAGAGTGAAGGAGCCCGATTGTCCCTAAGGGCTTCAGGGCGCTTGTAGGGTGGAGGAAGAGGAGGATAAATGTTGTTGAAGGCAGGGGGAGGCGATGATGGTTGATTAATCTGCATTGGGAGGGGGCCCCGTGATCTGTTACCACAGCTGCTCCAGCACAGTACCAGTCCTCCGCTCAGACTGAGGCAGGCTGAGGCATATCCGAGATACACGGCCAGGCCGATCTCGTACTTCATCCCGTTGGAAAGGAAGGGGTTGTAGAACTCCATGACGACGTCGTTTGTGGTCCAGGACACAGTGACCAGGCAGAGCAGGCCAGCACAGAGAAAACAAATCCCCCCACTAAGCACCAATGGAGACTTAAGTGATGAGCCACGGGCAAAGCGAGTGCACTTCATCCCCATTGCAGACACCAAAGAAGCCAGGACTGAGGTGACGCAGGAGAGCACCATGAGGGCCCGGGCAGCCTGATTTGGGAGGAGGATAAACAAAAACTTAATGCTTGGGATTATAACAGTTTTTTGATTCTTGTCTGTAAGGTATTAATCCACTTTTTAATTAATCCAAATACTTCAATATTATCAAAGTATAGATGGTTCTATTTAAATAGGTAATTCATTCTCACATCACTGTAGACTCATTCCCATATTATCAAGAGTACACATCTAAAGTGAGACTGGTTGCCTTTCTCAGAGAAGTGAAAGGTGTGGACACAAGTTAAAATCACGAGATGCTAAGCTTAGCACTGCAGCAGCACTAGTGGAAACAAAATAATGTCCCAAGGTTAACTTGACATTGTTAGCATGCTAGCATTGGCAAACACTGGACATTATGATTTGTTGCTTCTCGGTCAAAACAGAGGAAAGTGGGAAGTATTGCACAAATCTATCAATTATACTGTTCAAGATTTTAAGATTTCATTTGATTTAGAATTCACATGTTCACAGTAAAGGACATTCTCTTGGATTTCCACGGCCACATGGCCCTCCATCCATCCATCTTCTGGATCTTGTATTTTAAATGATGTTTTTTATAAATAATAAGGGTAAGAAATTGCCTCAAAAGCTAAAAATTGTCATCATACATGTATCTGCTAGATATCTTCTTTGTTATTAATTGAAGGCGAAGTTTAGAGAATGGGAAAAAGTCAAATTTTATGAGTACAGAAAATGAGCCAATGCTCTCATTTAGGGGTTAAAAGCAGAAACAGTAAGTAACTGAAGCACACATAAGACACTCTGGATAGAGGCGTTTGTAGTACCTGCAGGTCTTGTGGCAGTGACAGCAGAGATCTGTACACCTCACACTGATAAATGCCAGTGCTGTGCCATACACACTCCATCCACAGGCCTTTCATGTAGCCGGTAGCAGTGATGATGTTGGAGCCCACATAGGCATTGCTGCGCCACTGTGGGAGCACAGTCGCAACTACAGTTCCTCCAAACCCCAACAGGCCCAAGAAGAAGCCGAGGAGTTGAACTGCCATACTTGCCATGATTCCTTCACTCTGACGGACGCTCAATCTGCAAGGTAACGTCGAAATCATTGTTCATATGCAAGGAGACAAAGAAAGCATTTGAGTTTGTCAAAAGTGCTTCTATCGTGAAGCAGTCTCATAAATATGTTGGATTCACAGATTTTATAAGAAAAAAAGGCAAATCAACACATAGATATAACGTATTGCCACATACATTAGAAACACTTTACAGTAACAACCAAGCTAAAGTCCCCCGGGCTGACGATGTGGATGGATTCCTCCTGTTGTCTGCATGGTCCCCAGCAGCACGATGAATTCCACTGAGTTTACATCCAGTCACAGTTTCTGAGCCATTCCTCAAGTGTCTCCTGAGTGCAGGCAGAAAAAGCTGTCGAAACTTTCAGTTTTCTGGCATCAGTCTCCTGTGAGTGGCAGGTGACTGCATCTGTAACTAATGAGAGCAGTGTTCAGCTTCACCTGTTTAACGCTCTCCTCTGGAGGGCAAAGCACAGCAGTCTATTTGTTAAGCTCCCCAACACCCCTCAGAACGGAGAGGGAGGAAATTAAACATTTACAGAAACCACCCAAGCTGAGAGTACTGTTATAAACCACTAACTTTGAACACTTCTCACAACTCTGCCGGGTATTTCAGAGGGAGGGGATGAACGGCCTGATGACAGAGCATTTCTAGCTGATGGGCCCCAAACCTGGACAATAAATGAAAAGTAATGACTTGTAAAAACTGGCCCAATTATTTCATGTCTAATTTAACCTTTGCCATAAGATCACATGGCAATTCAGTTCTCCATTAACAAAATGACAGAATGGCGGAATATTATTCCACAACTGACCAGGAAGCTCTAGGTCTCACAAAAGTTAAGCATTTACTTTTGTTCCTTCCAAAATGATCTCTAGATGACAAAATCCTGAATAATAAGCAGTCGACCTCAATGACAGGTCAAGTGTAAATGACAACAATGAACATATTTCTAACTTATTATGCAATAACCGTCCCAAGGGGCAAAGTTGCCTTTTAACTGTGCGGAAGTGACAAATTAAAACCAAAGAAACCAAACAGTAGTCATGCAGAATAATAGAAGACTTCCTCAGAGAACAGAGGCTATTTATAAAGCCTGACTATTATTCATTGTTAGACCTGACACAGTCGGGGCCTCCTAAAACAGCAGAGATACAAGCGTCATTGTGTTTACTTAATGATTGACTACACGGAAGGAATAACAAGTAAGCAAAAAGAACAAAGCGATGTTGTTAGAATTTTAACCCACACATTTTTCCAACAACACAGCAAAACCAATTCAATAATCATAACTTTTTTTTTGCCACTTTCCAATCGCCTTGCACAATTGAAACTGTTCAAGCGTTCACATTTTCATCTCAGTAAATAACTCTACATAAAAAATACTTACCAAAAAGGTTAGAGAAGTATTACCAAGTCATGGCCAACAAAGGTGTCAGACGGCGCAGCAGACCAGCTCCTTCTGTCCCTGCTGCTTTAACAGACAAGAACACTGCAGCAGGAATATCAGATTTGTAACTGGCCATTGTAAGATATCATCATCAGCAGCTGCAGCATCAACACTATCCCTGTCACATCGTCAGAGAGGACATAAGAGACAGTCCCGGTGCTGGCTTGTTGCGTAAAGATTAACAGGACAAATGCCAAATGTGGACCCTGAGGCAAAGAAGTGCTGGCAAGCATGAGATGGACAGAGGATATGTTGTCCTCAATGGCTGTGCTGTTTGTCCCATTAATTCAGCGCTCTTCATTTCGACATCTGTTGATCAATAATGGACAACGACGTTCATGAGTAAATGAAAAAAAATGTAAATAGTAATCTACATATTAATTGATGAGCAACTTGTGGAAGGCAATAAATATGTATTTACAGGAAAAAGGGCTCATCAGCAGAACTTTACATGTGATGGCTGAACTGTACTTGATCTGTGTGTGTGGTACGTACTGTGCTGTAAACACGGTGGTCTTTAGGATCCTCTGGGGTAAGTCTTCTTCATTTGCCTTTCCTTTCTCTTCATCTGTATCCCAAGTCTGACCTGCCATGATTACTGTTGGAATGCAATTCTTTTCCTGGCTTTTGGATCCCCTTGTGTATGATTTAGTTCTTCGTATGAGCTCTCTGGTGAAGACATGATCCTCTCCATGGTTTGCCTGTGGGCGACGCCACTTGAATGTGTAACTCTTAATAGTCTTAGTTAAGCAGAATAATCCCGTGATTAGCAGCTGAGCATAGACTGTTGTGCTGTGCACTGTGCTAGAGGATAGCACAACCATGATGAGGTGCATGGTGCAGGCTTTCTCTTTTATACTGTTGTATGTCTTCAGAGGTGTGAAAGGCTGCACTCTTCTTTGTATTACATATAACATTTTCAACCAAACATATCTGGGTCAAAACGTTTTCTCAGGATATGGTTTATACAGTCTATGATTAAAATACACTATGAACACACGCTGATGATGTTGACCACATCATCAGACTGACATATGTTCACAGTTGATCTAATGATGGGGGGATTGTGGTAGGTAGGAAAACGACACTAGTCTAAATGAATCAGCACACATAAAAATAGTCAATAAATAAAATGAACTATCATGCAATAGCAATAATTGTTTAAAAAGTAATAAATAAAAAGTTTAACATCTAGATTACTGTTTTATATCTTATCATTTTTGTTTTGGATACCAGACCATAAAGTGTTTTGATTAACATATGATGCAGTGAGATTATTTTACTAGGAAACAAATGTTTTTTCTTTTTTTTACTATATAATGAATCAGGTGGCCGTAGTTGCACATTTCCTTTCTAAGTCATCACAATTCTTTTTTTTTTTTTTTTAATTGATCCTGTTTGTAAGGTGGCATTTATGAAGTTACAATGAGGCAGCATACAGTATGTATGACGTACTGAAAAGTAATTCAGTGAGGCCTACTGTCATCTAAACCAGTGGTTCTCAACTGGTTTAGCCTCAGGACCCACCACCACCAACTCCTTCATGAAAAATGTGACCCCAATTTCAGATATTTTCAACCAATGAACTGTATTTAATGAAAAATTGTGCAGTTTGGACCTCAGAAGGAACAAAACATGTGACGGAAAAAATAACTGATCAATGTTAAAAAGCTCTTCATAGACTATGAAGCACTTTTTTCCAAAGCACTCATTTCAAACCCACTTTTGTGTCCAGATGAGGGTTTTCACGCAGAATTGGGCTACATTATAGGTTCTACCAGGGGTAGGTTTTCGTTTGGTCTGTGGGTTGAGTGAACCCATTTTTGATGTAAAGTAAATTAATAATATAAACACACAACATTTATAAACTTTTTTGTTAATGCACAAATCAAACCACATCGACAAGCAGATAAGCAGGTACACATACGACACACCAATACACATGCACACACAGACCCTTCCCCGCCTGCCTGTGCACAGTCATTATAAACATTAAACAATAAATCAGTTAATTTATGTTGAGGAGGAAGAGGAAAAAGAAAAGACCAAGAACCAAAGGGACCAAGCAACAGGTTAGCTGTGCTTTAGTGAACCGTTCTAAGCTACACATTCACAGAGCTGTTTTTAAACTAGATTACACAACTGTGGAGGGAAAACTGCTTTCAGTGTTGTTATACTGACCAGGCATTTATGCTGTTATTTCATAAATATTGCAATAATTTGACAATGATAGCAATACTATTGTACTTGTATTGTAATTGTAAGGCATGGTGTGGCGGAGATTACAGGCTTATTTTAAATTCTGGCATTGGGATGTTTTTTTTTAGGGCTGGCTTTATTAGCTTTTTTTTTTAGTTTTTTTTTATTACTTATATTTTATTTGCTTTTCTTAATGAGGATATATCAAAATAAACACAGTATATAAACGTTGGTGTCAGTTAACAATAGTCAGTTTAGCCTCCTTTTAAATAGTCCATTCTCTTCAGACTTTGTGATGGGTTTTAAAGACAGTCCACTTTTTCTGTTTTCCTTGGCATGCAGACTGTTGTAGTCTTAAATTGTGTGTAAAGTTCTCCATATCGTGTAGTTTTTCAACAATGTTCAACCAGGTTCTACGAGTGTGTGTGTGTGTGTGTGGGGGGGGGGGGCGGGGTCCTCCTTACACCACTTTCTTGAAATGCTTTCTTTGATGAGTTGGGCTAGTTTTGATTGGACATTGGGCTGGTTTTGTAACACAGACCTAGCAACTCTGGTCCCGACCCACTTTTGGGCCCTGACCCACCAGTTGAAAACCACTGATCTAAACAGATGATCCAAACCACATTTCCACTCTAAGATCACTGCAGTTCTTCTCCATAACTGCAGTGAATACCATGAACTACCCTACACATTGATTATTATTATTATTATTTTTTTTATTATTATTTTTTTGTTTCTTCTCTTTCACACACATTGTGGATAATGGTAAGCGAGTTGCTTTTATGACTCTAACTTATAGTGATGTATTTGAGGTAGGTATATTTTACATTATGTAGATATATTTTCTTTTGCATTTCGGACTTCAGAAGAAAAACACCTGAGTTATTTATTTCGCGCCGTTGAGTGACATCAAAGATCTTATATTCATCACAGATGACTCCTCTCTGAAATCCGCTGCTCTTCTACATGTAAAAGTAAGTGGTTTAATGAGAATACTTTGTTTAAAGTTAGCTTGTATTTCTACTTTCTTTATGGCTCAGTCGATGAACACATATCTAAGAGTTAGTTACTTAAGGTTTTATTTCGTTCAGTTTAAAGATAGCTTAGCTTTTGCACTAAATTAGCTATTTATAGTAACTTAGCTGCTTCTCCTGCTACATGACAGTGGAAGTAAAACTATTTGATGTTCAGCTGAAGTTGGGTGAGTTCAAGAATTTGTTGTGCCTTTTTATTTTGGATACAGTCCAGGGGTGATAAAAAAATAAAAAAATAAAAAATGGCAAGAAGAAGCTCGAGAAATGTCCCGAAGAACATCTGTAACTGAAGTCGCAGCTTCACAAGAGGACTCCTGTTCGTCCTCGTCCACGTAGGACCATCATGACCCGCAGCCAGTGTGACACCAGCTTCTTCCACAGGCTGCCCTCTGAGCTGTTCAACATCATCCTGGATAAACTGACTGGTATGTGACAGATAAACAGCATACAACCTGCTCAGACAGCCAGTGAGCCACTCCAGTAACAAAACTGAAGATTTAATTCCAATTTGAATAGTTTAAATGGCATAATTGCATAAAAAAAAAAAAAAAAGTTCAGTGTTCATTTAGAATTTAACTGGAGACTTTTTTTGTCAACAACATTTTTTTCTTGGAAATGAGATTAAAAATACAACAGAATTTGCTCTGAGTGGTTTAAAGTCCTGACAATTTGAACTGTGCTCTGTGTTGTTTTGTATTCATCTCTAATTGAAAAAAACATGTGTTTGTCAGTGCTGGATATCAGTGTGTTCACCATGGTTTCCAAGGACATCACAAGGTTTGTTGTGGACTACATCTCCACTATGACCTGGAAGAACAAAATGATCATCCAAAACTTTCACTACTCCACCTGCCTCGAACAGAGATCATCTATTGGACATTACAGAGACCTGGGTAAGTGGAGATGTTATATTGATAATTAGCAGTGATATAGCTGAATTGAACATAATCTTGAATCAGCCCCACGCTGTACCATAAATAAGCTACACTGTTAAGTAAAGGAATGGGACATTTTATTATGTGTCTTTATAATATGAGAATGTGCTTCACTGCCTCAGGTCTGTTGTTCAAGAGATGTACCCTGTTGCTACCCACAAAGGAAAGGTTAAAGTTTATCTTCAGCAGGTTTTCACAGGTAAGAAAAAGACTGCTGAGAGGATATGAGAGAGGATGGAATAATATAAATCATTAAATTATCACATTTTCTATTTGTATAACAAAAAGTAGCTTTGTTCCAAACAGTTGACTTTTCACCAGAAAATCTTCATTTTGAAAATGTCTTCCTTTGTCTTGTATTTGTTAATTTGAAGCTGCACAAAAGGTGCTTTCTATCTCACCATTGGCGTCGGAAATGTGGTCACATCAGGCTAAATTATGAGTTTATTTGATGGATTAATAGGTAAGGCTTGCGTACATGCAGACTTTGCACGTTGGCTACCAGATTCATTCAAAATGTATCATTCAGCCCTATCTATTAATTATAACTCATGCGTCTGATGAGGCAAAATAAAATAAAGCTGTGTCACTGATCGGTTTTCAGATTCCCTGCTTCATGCTGGAGCAGTGTTTGGCACAAGTCTGCATTGGTTTCTCCTGCTATGGGGTCTTCCTCCAGGTGAGGCTCTGATATCAAGCTTTAAACATTTGAAATGAACTGAAACCTAAATGTGATCAAGCAGTTCAAGAATAAATGTCAAAAGGATGGCAAAAGACAATGAAGCATGCATATTAAAACGTACAAGAGGAAGTCCTGCACTGATACCGATCTAATTCTTAATAAATTATATTTCACTTAACTAACAATTCTCTGTTGCTGTTCTCTTTTGAGTACTTTATAGACTCTGATCGCAGGGTGGGATGAGTTAGAGTGCCACAGAGTGTTCAACTTTCTCTGCGAACACACAAATCTGCTGCAAAAAATGGAGGCAGTCATCATCGGCAAACCAGGTGTGTGTCTCATTATCTGAATGTACATGTTGCTGAATATAAAAAAAAAAAAACAGTTCAATTATCATATAGAAGAGTATCCATCAAGGGGACATACTAAATAATGAGCTTTTACTGTTAAACCTTGTGGAAGACTGTGAGGAATTCTGTTTCTCAAAGTCCCTGTTTGTCTGTAGGGGTAAGGTGGTACCAGGAGCTGCAGCTCCGTCTTTTCTGCCGCCAGGTTCTCTTGGACCCGTGGCTAAACCAGCCAGAGTGTCAGTTCTGGCTAATGCAACTCCTGAAGCCCTGGCCTTTGGTCTGCCAGGCACGTTTACTGTTTATCCTATACGGACCTCTGCTGACTGAGGGTATGATAACTGTTCTTTTTTTTACACACATGTGAAGACCTATGGAGTTGGTGTTGGACTGACATTAGGTCAAGTCACGTTGTCTGTACTGCACATTTTGAAGTGAAGTCAAAACAGAATCTGCCTCAGTACATGATATAAATGATTAAAGGCAACAAACAATACAATTCAATAATACATAATATAATTGCAATAACATTAACACCAACTGTCTGCATTATTAAATCAAAATTTAAGGACATTTTTTGAAAGTCATCTCTGAGATTAAATTATAATCTGCATGATTTTAGCTTTATCCAGAAGATTGTGTCAGAATTTGTCTACACTGCCCTTCTAAAAATCATATACCAGCTTCAATAAACCTGAGTAATGATTCCAAACACAGTGAATGATTTTGCACCATATACAGTACTGAAAGATTGCAGCTTCTTGGCATTGGTGGATTTTTAATGTCACTGAAGTACGTTATATATATGATGATCTGTATAATAAGTATTGAAATTAGTTGATTTTAGGGCAAAAACACATCACTGATAAGGTTTTTTTTTGGTTGAAGAGGCCTGGATGGCTAATATTTGGCCTTCTTTTCACCTTATTGTTGTATATTTTTCTGTCATAATGATGTGGGGTAGAACTATGCTTTTAGTGATTGAGATGCTTCCCTCCGTGTAGGCACCCTGGGATGGCAGGATATGGTGGAGAGGGGGCTGCCTCACAACGATCTGTGGGATCTTGCCAGGGCTTTCCTCCTGCTTCTAGGCAAAATGGAGGTCGAATGCCAGACCACTAATTCAATGCTGGCAATCTTGGAGGAGCTCACTGGTAACAAAGTTCAAGTTTTTTTTCCTGTCATAGACACAGAACCTTATTAGACACCTATCATGGCTACAGACTCTCATGTGTTAAGAGTTCTTAAGACTTAAACTCATAGTCTGGATGCATTCACTAAATGAAGACTCTTTTGCTCTCATACTTGTCATCTCCAGTCATTCCCCAACAATGGCATGTGGAGAATGTGGCTCGTCTGTTGGTGCTGTGTGGCAGCAGTTTCAGCTACTCTGTTCTGGCCAGCAAGGCCATCAATGGACGACTTCCTGAGATCTCGAGACTCCTCGTGTACATCATACTGGTGAGAATACTGGGCATTTTATTTTAGCTGAATGTGCTGCAAACGGAACTTCAAGTTAAACCCATGTTAAAGGTGTTTTGGTAAATATTTGGCTTTGAAAATCAGAAATTGACAGAACATTGCTCATCTTTTGAGCCATCTATAATGCAATAAGCTAACACAGTCATCATGCAGTTTAATAATATCAGATTAAACCTACATTCAGAACAAGTGCACATCTGGAAATTTGTGAAGATGGCAATTAAATGAGTCATCACAAACTCATTGCCTACTGCTGGTCAATGTGACTGATTTTTAATGTATGCTCCTCCAGTTCAGGATCAGGGGGCTGGAGCCTGACCCAGCATGCACAAGGCAGAAGGCAGACACATTGTTGGAAAGGTCTCCTTTCTGTGACAACTGTCTGAATTTGCATAATTGTCCCCTGTGGGATTAAATTGCCATTCATGCTGTCCATGGTGCTGAATTTATATTTATTTTCCATTAACTTCTCATAAGAGATTCTAGGCAGCTCTAAATCAAACTTTGAATGTATCAGTATCAGCTTCAAAAAACTACAAAGGAACATGATGGACATCATGTTTTCCCACTGCTTGATTTCATTTATTTTGATTGAAAACTTCTTGACCAAATCTCGTGTGTGTACACATTGATCGTTACCCTAACCAAGGACCTAGGAACTTAAATATCTAATTAAAATAATTATTGACTTGATTCATTTTATTTACTAAAGCCATGACAGAATTGTTACTGTGAAAAAAAAGAATCTGATCAGTTCTTTGTTTTGTATGGTGGATTCTGCAGGTGTGCGAGAAGGACGGCTATCACATGTCCTGGGTGGTGAAGTTGGTGCAGCAGATCTTCAAGGTCCTCGGCACACCTCCTGAAAAGTTCTGCCTCATCCAACAGCTGGAGAACATGTTCTCACAGGTCACCAGGGAGTTTTTTGAGTTCAGTGTTACAGGTGAGGTGCACCAGCTTAATTCTCAAGTCGCATCTAGACAGTAGACATTTATTTTGAAAAAGGTTGAAGTTGAAGTTGAAGTTTTTTTGATCATAAACATTTTTATATCCAACTAATAAAAGTTTGAAGAAACAATTACAGTAAGTATTCCTTCAGATGGTAGGGAAAGCTATAGTTTGAAATTATTAAATCACAGTACTATGTGTATGTATGGCAAACAGATTAGTCGTAGTTACCAAATACCTTGTGCTTGGTTTACAGACGTGGAGATACTTATTTTTGAATTGAATGTATGAAGCACCCTCTGGATACAATACACATCCTATATGGAAAAACCATTCAAGTTTATTTGGTGTATGTGTGAGCACAGCCTGGTCGTTGTTGGGAAAATGATATTGCATGTAATGTGAAGCTGCTTGGTTTCTCTGGATTGTTGGTTGTTTATCCGTCCCACAGCTCAGTTGACAGATGGGAACTCCTGATTTATCCTCATTTCACTGAAATTGTTTGATATGTTATTCCAATATTTCTACCTGCAGAGAAACCCCCCCTCACACAATGCCCAAAACCATATGAAAAGTTTTTAAAAAACTCATTCATTTTATCATCTCTTCTCAGGAAATCATCTGGACGACAGAGAGACTTTCCAGACCCTGTGTATCCTGTTGGACTCCAGTGCTCACTTCCACACTAAATTGCTCCACATGCTCCTCAAATAATAAGCTGGAAAATTAGAAGTAACAAGACATGAAACATAGGATGGAGAGCTGAGATCTGCTAAACTGAAGGCAAGTATCTCTCTTAAAAAGATTAATAGGGAGAAAAGGAGCTTTGAAACGGTATTAAGATGGAGGTGAAGACGAACCTGAACATGTGGAATTTGCTTCACAGTGAGCTGTTTTCTGTACACAACACTGCATTTGTTGGTCGAAAACAGAACTGTTTCATTACCTGAGCCGAGCACCATGGTTGTTTTCTAAACATTTTATATTTCTCTTAAAGTTAAAAAATCTTGTTCACCTTCAACATCTTGCAAGTTCACTTTTGTAATCTTAATTTATTAACACTGAACACAATGTATTGACACTATTTATTACAGTATTTAATATTTATTTTTATTGAACCTCTGTAAATGTGGCTGTGATATAATGATTCCATTGTTTTTTATACAATTTATTAAATTGTCATATTTATCTTCTTGTACATATGTTTATGTGTTTGAAGATTTTTCTGGCAGGATTTGATGCTGCCCTCTTATAAATACAGAAACACAGCATGCACTCAGCAGATAACCTTTTATTATCCCTCAGTCAGGACCAGATTCAGCAGAAAACTATTTCCAAAAAAAACAGAGGTGACAAAATCAAATCGATTAACTTCTGTCACGGAATAAAAAAGTAGCAGCTTTTATAAAGATGTTTACATGTTACTTGAAGTAGAAACAATAAAAAGGACATTTTCACTGTACAGCACGTTTTTAAAACTGTGTCAGTAATGACATAATTCCTTTCTCTCTAGTGGGCGCTTTAAATGAGTAGTAGCACTCACAGGTAGCACTAGGCTAGTTCACATTAAAGTTTAAGGCCTACAACGTCCAGTAGGATGAATATTTAGATGGTGAATGAGATCCATTTGGTGTGGCCGCAACAACTCCATGGTGACAGGCATTTCAATGATTCAAGTTTTCATTGTTTTGATATGATCTGTCAGGAGAAAGAAAAAAATCGACGTCATGATGCATGTTGTAAATATGGAAACAATTAAAAAACAAACTGGAATTCACATATAGAACAATGTTTTTTGTGTGCATCAAAATAAACTGGCATCACAAACAGTAACATTTACAAGTGTACACAACACAAGATTTACATTTAAACTGAAAAGCAAAAGCCTCAATTGAATGGGATTTTTCAGTCAGGTGATCAGATGATTACGTGTTTGCTATGTCACAGAGATCTTCTACTATTGGATGTTCTTATTTGTTCTCCCACTCTGATCCTGGATTGTATAATGCCTATAAACCTCTCTATTTCAGCCCTGCACAGAACAGGCTTTTTCTGTGTCTGTAGCTTTAAAGAAAATGAGCTGTATAACCACGCCCCTCTAGAAGGGCTTTGGTGGCTGGGGCTTTCTTGCACCATGCTCTAGTGTTTACGTTGAGAAGACAGACTCAGAGGACAGAACAAACAGCTAGCTAAAGAACTGTCACCAACATGGGGGAGGGGTTACTGCACTCTGTGATGTCCCAAAGGGAAAATCTCCTAACCGCCTGTTCGAGCACACATTTTCTTAAAAGTGGAGCAGGCAAAAGACAGAGATGATGGGCTTTTCTCATCATTTAGGGGTTTGTAGCCCAGGCTAGGGACACATGTTAGTGTAAGAACCACAAGGTAAAGTGTATTTTGCACTATGTGTGACATTTAAATCCCACCCAGAGAGACACTGATGCACAATCACTTCACAAGAAGACAAAATGCAGCATGGTGATACTTACTGTGCAATTTGCTCTATGGGTAGGGAAACAAAACACATATTTGAGGTTAAAATTTAATTTCTGAGCTTATCTTCTCTAGTAGTTCTTTTTTTGCTTGTTCTTTTTTTTTTTTCTAAATCAACTTTAAAGAACAAATTACCTTGTAGCCAGTCCAGCCCTTCCTGTAGGCCCTCCCCTTTGATGGCGTTGCTCGGGCTAGAACAATAAGTTGTTGATGAGTTAATCTCCTTGTGGCATGCATTCACTTTCACATGACTTTTCCTAGGTCCTGGGTGTTTAAAGCGCTCTAGCTTTTAATCCACCCTGCCTTCCATCTGTCTAATAAGTAAGCAGGGTGGAATACACACAAATATATAAGAGCAATGATTTTGAATAGGTGGTGCTTGGCTTTCTTACAATGTTTAACCTTATGGATTGAAAAGGAAAAACAAATCTAGGAAGGAAAATTGGGTTATAAATGTATCTGTATGAGCTAGTAAGAAAGACATTAATGATACAGATGGGAAATGACAGTTTGCTTTATACCCTTCATAAGGGTAAATAGATCATCATGTGGTCACCTGAATGCCACTTCATTCTTTTAGGACTGCGTGTGAAACATACAATGTATTGACTTGTTTCTTTGAAAAAAAGAAAAGAAATGTAATATATTACCAGATGTGCCAGGGTTTGTCTTTGATGTTCTCCAAACACAACATCTGTGTGACCTTCACTGACGACATAGCGTCCCGCAGATCCATCTTGTTTGCAAAGAACAAAACAGGTATCTTTTTGCAGCAGATATCTAGGGAATAAAACAGAATGAGTGGCATAGAGTGAGGCATAACAAATGATGTGCAGTTTCAGTTTGATTAGTAGTTAAGGTGGCTCAATAGATGCGTCTGTATAGATGTAGAAATCCGAAAATGTGATGGTATTCTAAAATAATACATCAGGGAATAATGTTGCACTATGTTGGACTATGTGCCATAATATGAGACTAAATCTAGCAAGTTGGAAGTGTCTCTTCACGATATTTCCAGATTTCTTTCTTAAAAGTAAGCTTGCAAATGATGTTTACACAAGAAGTCTTTCGCCAGACTTAAAACGCGTTCACTCTTAGCCTACCATGCCAGGTGCCCCTTTTTTCCCGCATTTATATATATTTAACACATTAGGGTATAGAGTATTATTCAGTTAGGGCTTTTACTTTTTTACCCTTTCTATTGTCCTTATACAAATGGTGTAAAGGGAATTCAGCCAAAAAATACTGTAAAGCATTTTTTTTACCTTCATGGTTTAGAAGATTATCTAGTTCTTCTTTGGCAACAACCATTCTTAATTTGTCACTGCTGTCAATAACAAATATGATGGCATGACTTTCTCTGAGGAGGACAAGAAAAGAAGTTTGAATTGATACAAAGTCTTATCACTGTAACCTTCATGTATCGTTATATGTTATGATCATTTAGTGTCTTTTTCTTACTTGTAGTAATGCTCCCATAGGTTTCTGTATCTACCCTGTCCGGACATATCAAAGACTGTAAAAGACAGGCTGCAGGTGAGAGAGAGAGAGAGAGAGAGAGAGAGAGAGAGAGAGAGAGAGAGAGAGAGAGAGAGAGAGGGATGGAGTGTTAATGCTGTTTGTAGGCTCGTTAACTATAAATGAATATATATACGACAAAGGTCTAGAGAATTTTACCTTGAACTCTTGAACTTTTCAATGTTGAAACCAATTGTTGGGACTATTTCTTGAGCCGGTGTCTGCATGCATCCATACAAAATATGCAGAGACAGACACATACACACAAACACACACACAAAAAAACACAGACAAGTAACAGCAAGAGCATGTCAACACAGAGATGGTAAGAGAAAGTATGATATGGGCTTTACCTGACTAACATGTTTCCAGTCTTCTGACAATGGGCCTAAATGATTGGAATTCTGAAAACAAGCAACCAGTGAATGATTGCAGTGAGAAAAGGGGGCAGGCCTTTTCACATTATTTACCCAAAATGTTCATATCATAAAAAACCCCAATATTTTAGCTTCTGTTTTTATATCACAGACTTAATAAGCACATAGGTCTCTTTCTGTCTCAAATGGACAATTATCATAAAATCAATTATCATTAAAGTGTGCAATGAATGAAGTCACTAAAAAGTCCTATCATAAAAGTCATATCATAATTTGATCAACTTACATTTGCAGGTTTAAGTTGGTTGATGATTGTAGTTTTGCCGCTGTTGTCCAGTCCCAAACACATAACGTTGACCTCTTTTTTCCTCAGGCCGAGCCAGCCTGACAGTTTGTCCAGCAACCCCATTTAAACTGATTGATGTGACACTAAATAACTTTAAGGCATCACCCCATAGATAATCCGACTACTGGGAGTGAAATATAAGAGTTTGAGTTGACTCTCAAACAGTTCGGTAAAGACAAACACGAGTAGTGTGTTCTCAGTTGGTGCTGTGAATAGTGTCACAAGCTGTGATTCCGCCTGGGCATCCCGGCTTGTAACAGGTAATCCTATTAGGGTGAATTAAGCTCTGTGAACCATCCGGCGACCTGAGCATGAAGTATGGAGCTTTTGTAGGCCTCCCATCGTGATGTATTTGATCTACTACTCTGACACCTTACTGTTCCTCTCCTCAGCTTTCCTCATTTTCCACCAAGGCCAATATGCTGTCAGTCTGTGTGATTCACAGTTATTCAAACAATCTGTGGCTAGAGTGTGTTTGTGAATTTACAGAAAATGACAGTCAAGCACAAACAACTGTAACATTTCTTTGTATCCATAAACAAACATGTATAAGGACAAATTTCATATGCTAGAAACATGACTTTAATGGACAATGTATTTTTAGAAGACATGTGGCACACCATCAGAGAAACAGTCATCTATCCATTCTGAGAATGGATTACATTTTCATGATGACCGCGGGAATCCAATTTTGACTTCCAACATGGCAGGTGTGCAGCTGGTCAGTGGTCCAACAGCTCCATCTTTTGGTTATCAGATGTGTAAGACTTCATGATCGTTCCCAAGTGGACAGAAAGGTTTACATAAATAAAATAATATAAAGTGACATTACTGAAAAGACTACCCCTCCAATGATTTAGTTTTTTTCCATTCTCAACAGCTTGCCTGAGTTTGAAACTGAAACAAAATTCAATAAGCAGTCAACCACCAGAACTGTTCATCTTTATTTGCAAATAAATATTCGCTGTAACTGCCTCTTACAGTGTGCAAGATCTACAACATCTCTTTGGAAATTATAGAAAAATAAAATACAAGAATTATAAGTATACTTGTACTTTGTACAAAAGAACGTTCTAACATTGCTCAGCAGTAGAACATGCTAAACAAACAGCATCTGATATTTTCCATATTCTGTAGAGGTGTGAAGACCATGGGTGATGGTGTGCATATGTATACTGTACGTCTGTGTGTTTTTATTCCTGAAGGCCTGGCTGCATAACTACATAGTGACCCAAAAGGCACAGATCTAGAGATCCAGTTTGCCTTGGAAAATATTCATTTATCCACAGATTAAAATCAGCTGATGAGGGGCATGGGATCTTACAGTATGAATACAGAATACAACTAAAAGCAATGGTTAGGTCCTGTGTCTGTACTGAAACTTCTGAGCCACTCTAAGGTGATTTCTATCTTGTATGGTTAACTAATTGTAAGGCATTTTGTTTGTGTGTGTGTGTGTGTGTGTGTGTGTGTGTATCTGTGTGTGTGTGTGTGTGTGTGTGTGTGTGTGTGTGTATCTGTGTGTGTGTGTGTGTGTGTGTGTGTGTGTGTGTGTGTGTGTGTGTGTGTGTGTGTATCTGTGTGTGTGTGCGTGTGTGTGTGTGTGTGTGTGTGTATCTGTGTGTGTGTGTGTGTGTGTGTGTGTGTGTGTGTGTGTGTGTGTGTGTGTATCTGTGTGTGTGTGTGTGTGTATCTGTGTGTGTGTGTGTGTGTGTGTGTGTATCTGTGTGTGTGTGTGTGTGTGTATCTGTGTGTGTGTGTGTGTGTGTGTGTGTGTGTGTGTGTGTATCTGTGTGTGTATCTGTGTGTGTGTGTGTGTGTGTGTGTGTGTGTGTGTGTGTGTGTGTGTGTGTGTGTGTGTGTGTATCTGTGTGTGTGTGTGTGTGTGTGTGTGTGTGTGTGTACATGAAAGAAGATGTAAAAATAACACATTATGAGTTATGATGCTGCTGTTCGTGTTTTATGTTCATTTCCTATCTGACTCTTTGTCCTGACCACAAGCAACTAAGATTACAGCCTTAGCCCCGTTTTCCACTGGCACGTTTTAAGCTACTTTTGCTTCCACCAACTCGACTAACTAGTTATATCCTCCAGCACTGCCTAATCACCACTGACTTACAGACTGGAATAAAAACAAACTTGATTTCAATGGCAAACATCTGACAACTTGACATCATCTTTTCATTTCACACCATTTTTATGTACACTTCTCTCCCTAACGTCCACAACCTTTACATGACTGCATGACTGGAGTAAAATTACTTTGTGAAGAATGTCCAGGTGCTAGTAGTTATACTGCGCTGACATCGCGAATCGTTTTTGTCCCACAAGTGCAAAAACACCGGCCTTTGCATTTATGTGTACAGGCAAAACTAAACAAAAGAAATGTATATCAAACAATATCAGCTAATTCTGAAAAACCATACAAGTCCAGGTTAAGTTTTCAGACAATTTCAAACATCTCCTATCTATTTCTAAACTCTGTGAACATTCATATGTTAAGACAGTGGAGATTGTGTACTTTCAGGCAATGTATAACATTCACTATCCAAAAAAATCTGGCTTATCAAACAACAATGAGTACACTGGTTGCTCAAAACTGTCAAAATAGACTTGTATGGTTGTTCATCTGAAGGCAATAGATCCAGATCTGCAAGCTTAGTATCCGACAATAAAACAGGTGGATGATATTTCTGAGAACCTAAGGTTAAAATGTCAGCTAAAGTTCTGTCATTGCACGACCCTTCTTGTCTATCTCTATCCGAAATACTGAGGTGACTGCATAATTCTGTATTGCTGATTTTGGATAGAAATCTTATATAAATATATATAAATCATTTTAAACGAGATCCAATTTACTAGGGCTTTCACATACAGGACTGCACATTTATAGATATAGGGTTATGATAATAATTAGCCATTAATTGTCTATACACTTTTAAACATTCAGAAAAGCTCTTCTCACTTCTTCCTTCAAGTATACGCATACCAGATTCTCTGGAGAGAGTGTAAATGTAAGCAATGCAAATAATATCTTCATGATGAATTATAAAAACATAAGATAATAAATACTGAGGATACTTTTTATCAAACTTTTCAATTGCACACCCGTTAGCAGCTACATGAGCACATAACTAAGAGCAGAACAAAAAAAAGTCAAAAGATTTAGTAGATTATGTTTGCAAATCTACATCTCTAGATATTGTTGCTTCATACACAAAGTACTGCTGCTGCAACAAGGCATTACATTCCCCTAAGTAAGGGCCTTAGCCAGTCTTTTGAGTCTGTAATAGTCTGGCAGGACCAAATATTTCGGGTTTGGGGTGTATAGTAGGAAAACATCTGGATGTGAGGAAGACCAGGGGGCAGTCTGCTGTGGTAGTCAGTCTGATGACCTCTTGCATGAGGAGTTAAGACACAGGCACAGGCTGGAGACTGTCTGTCCAAAGGTCTAGACTTCACTTCCCTCTGGTCCATCTATCTGTCCATCCAAGGCTGTGTTAAAGGTGGTCCTCATACATGGAAACCCTTTTCCTGTTCGTGCAGTAGCTGAAGGCGGAGGGTTTGTACGCTGCTGATGATCCGCCTCTGGTGGCCGATCAGCTCCACCCCAATACTCCTCACATCTCTAGGCCGAGAGGGGAAGAACAGACACACAAACACAAATGGAAACCACTTTAATCTCACTTTTGAGGACTTTTCAGTGACTTCCTTCTCTCTTAGTTGAGTGGATATTGTTCTCACTGTCAGGTAACAGGCAGTGATTTTTTAAGGCAGTGAAGACAATTATTCATATAAGATTGAAGATTCAATATATAAATCTAACTGTGAGGAACTCCTTTTTCTATCCTACATATAAACAAACAATTTATGTTATATGTGCATAAAAAAAAAAAAATCTAGTGTGTATTTTAGAAGACACAACATCATCAAGTAATGTGAAAAGTTGTAAATAACAAAACGGACTCCCATAACTTTATTCTACATTTTCCATGATGCAACTTGTAAGTCTTTAATAAACCTTCCTTGCCTGATTTGTACCCAGATCTTCAAGACATTCCCAGTTTAAAACGTATACTATCTGTTTTTGGAAGTTTCAACTTGAAACTGAAATAAACCTGACTGCATCACTATAACTTCATCAGGGTATCTCAGACTTTGACGTTCACCCTGAAGTCACAGGAGGCATTCACATTAGTAATCTGACTGCAGGAACTTTCTTATAGTTTGAGGAACTGTTGGAGCCCTCCCACTTTTTTATTGATTCCACACCACAGGAACTTGGAAATATTTTAGTTCCTAGATTCCCATTTAGAGGAACCTCTTTAGCTAGTATGCACTCTCCCAGCACCATGGGTGTGCGACTGCAGACAGAAAAAAAGTTCCCTTAGTGTTTAGTTCTTAGGGAACTCCCTAGTGGATAGTCCCCAGAACTGTTTGGTCACATAACACCTATTGTAAAGCCATACATTAAATCAAACAGAACTTAATTTATAAAACTAGTTAAAGTTCTCTTTTAAGAAATAATTCTACCAAGTGAACTAGTCTTATTTGGGTATTTGGTAACAATGGTTATATGTTTGATCTTGTACTCACTCGATACTCATCCCTGCCACTGAGTCTATTGTGTTGTAGCCTGCTGCCATGAAATTGCTCTTGTACTGGCTCATCTTAATGGAGTCCAGCCAATCGCCGATGGAGATGAACATTGGGTAGTCCATTTCCTCCCCCGGAGACTCTGGTAAACTGACACAAAAACAAAGCCTTTGATGCAAAACTTACTGGCTTAAAGTTTGAAAGAGTGAAACACATTGGTATTGATTTAAAGAGTTAAATCTCTCTCTGAAGGTACAGTCTTTGGTTTTATTTGGGATCTTTTTATACTTTGATCACAAAATTTCTGTTGATTATAACTCAAAAAGTGTCTCAACCAAGGGAATAATACTTCTGTAGATGCTTGACACATACCATTTTTGTTCACTTCTCCTCAAAGTTACTAACAATCTAACAATAAACAGAACTAGGACCTCAGTACTTTACCTCTGAATGTCTTCTACCAGGGGCAGCAGACTGCTAGGGTTGCGGATCAGTTTATCCAAGAAGGAAACCACATCGGTGAATTTGGGCCGCTGACTTCTCTCCTTCTGCCAGCAGTGCAGCATCAGCTGGTGCAGGGCAACGGGGCAGCCCATTGGAGCAGGCAGCCGGTAGCCCTCTTCAATGGATAGAATCACCTGGAGAGATTATTGAATGTGAATACAGATGAAAATGTATACACAGTGTCACTATGTGAATTTGAAAACACTTCTTAGACATGTCGGACAATATCAGCAGATAAAAGTAAATACCGCTAAAAAACGTAATGTTTCTCACAGGAGCTTTAAGCATGTATATTTTTAACCATTTTGCTGGTTGAGTGGCAGCAGAAAAAGTTACAAGCAAAACACTACCATACATTCACATTTTTAAGCAATGTGTAATGGATTTCACATTCCAATCCACTACTTAAAGTCTTTTTTCCTATTTTTAGTCTCCAACAACTTCAACTTGTGATTCATAAATGCTGTTATGTAAGCTTCTAAATTTTTCATATCCCCCCACCTTATTTATTTGAATTCCTGAGATGGACAATGCATTTAAACTAGTTCTTTTTTATAGTGCCCTAATCTCACCTTTACAATTAATCACCTCCAAAGAAGCTGAAAGTTTAAAGGAACTATATGTAACTTTCAAAAATACTGCGTTTGTAGTGACACCGCAGGCCGTTAGGCGAACTGCAGTAACCTGTTGCTCGCTCTCGCTGGCGTGCTCGTACACGGACGAGCATCATCATCAGCCGCGAAACACTGGATATTTACCGGCATAATGTTTACAGAGTGGCCTTTTTCTGGCTGATTCAAATCGCTGTGAGCCGTCACCAGCGTGGTTGGGGGTAGGAATCTCTCTGATTGGCTGTTTAGCTAAGCAAAACAGAAGAGCCAGTGCACGGGAAGAAATACAGAAGTGCCTCTTCTATTCTTTTTCCATTAATAAAAAACCAAGGGTGGACAACGCCAGAGCCATTATCAACTTTTTACCAGACATTATTCTCGATTAGAAGTTCCTATATTACGAGTGTTGAGCAACACCGGTGAGAAAATTGTCTTTTGACAAAAGGTGAAGCCGACGCCACAGGCGGCCTTTGTTGCCACCAGTTCTTTGCCGTCTGCTTGGTGTGTCAGGGCCCTAAGCGGAGCGGAGTGAGGAGGACGTCGAGAACGCGCCTATGACGTCTTCCAGGAGCTTTCGAAAAAAACCGGCCTGAGTAAAAATGTTATACAGGCAACACAGATAGACAGTGAACATCTACTTTTTCACCAGTTAACCGTTCGCTTATTAATGGGCATTAAAAAACGATTTATACATGTAAAAAGTTTCATATAGAACCTTTAATGTGCTAATACAGAAGATCTGCATCATATCTGTGAGTCTCTGGGAGTAGAGATCTGTGTATCTTTTGTTGGGAGCTGTGTTAAGTGGCTGACCAGAATGAGATAGCGTGTAGCTGGTTTTACAGCTTGGCCGGCCTTTTGCCTTGGAAAGCATTTCTAAGCAATTTCCAAACACCACAAATCCGCTTCAAACCCCGGGACCTTAGTAAATGTGTGTGTGGGGCTGTCTGCGTATAGATGTGTATAAATCTGTGTGTAAGGGGTTGAAGGGATTACGGTTGAGCTTTCACACTCAGCGGAGAGAGGGATGGATCTGCTTCCTTTGCGGCCCCTCCAATCCCTGACCATAGCCCAGGGATCAGCGGGTTTGCTCCGCCACACTGAATTCACAGCTTTAAACTCCCCGTCTACCGGACCGAAGTCCTCTGAACCTCTGACCTTTACTGATCTTTCCCTTTTCCTCTCACTCATCTTTCTCTTCCTTTTAGTGAATCTCAGCAGCATTTCTGTTCTCCCCTCCCCTCTCTCAGAGGTAAGCTTTTGATGTGGGAAAACAGTCAGGGAGCAGGTTAAAGGGCAGCAACTTTAACAGATTTATTGAAAAGTAAACTCAGAATTTACTCAGTGGAGCAGGTCTTGAATTGAGGAGTAAATATTGAGCTGTGTTGTAGTCAGAGGTTGGGCAACTATGCTTGTGAGGGAATATTTGAGGAAACAACATGTACAAGACTCTCCCCTTTTTTTTTTGAACAGTCACTGATATGCCTCTGAAAAAAAAAATCACTTTTCACTTATTTCTTGTACAGTAAAATCCTGGAAGTATGTTAGATACATTAAAGTCCACTTGTGACACATATATTGTATAGAGAAGGTTTTGTAGATTTCTATGTATTTCCTTGGTATATCAATTTGTGTTTCACACCACAACAACTAATACAAGGGACAAACTAAAGAATCAAATTGCAATTCATGTGCACCTCACTGCAGCAGCCCTACCTCCACTGGCATGTTCCATTTTTTTTGCCCAGGTTGGCCCAACTGGGGCACTAACTTATGCAGGGGTGGCTTGATGTTTGTGTGCACTAACAAAATAATATCTCTAATTAATTGAACTTCTCTGTCTCCATTAATAATATCTCTTTTAACACCTAAAGCGTCATACAGATGTTATATACCTGTGGTGTTAGTTTCTTTAACTTTAAAAGCTAACACAGCATTGGAAAAACATTTTAATCTTCTAGCTTAATCTTGAAGAACCAACAAAGAACATGATTGTCTAAAGTCACATTAACAGGACATAAAACATTTCTTCACACAGTTTTCATTGCCAATACATTTGACTAGATTTAAAGAACAAACAAGAGACAATGCGCTTTGTTGAAATGCAAAGAATGCTATTTTGCAACACAGCCCAGATAGTTGTTTTTAATACAAGTCCTTCCTCTGAAAAGACAAACACCAAGTCATAGTTTAGGATTTTGGGGTGCAGATTTCAAGTTGGGTCCATGTTGCCCCTGGCCAACCATCTGGACACGCCCATGGTCTTTTATAAACGCAGCAAAAATATACCAAAAGCTTTATGTTTCAGGGTGCACTTTCATCAAATTTCACTATAAGTGTGAAGAAATAAAATGACAGTACTCTCCCCTCCCCTCTCTCAGAGGTTGAGCTCTTGATGTGGGAAAACAGTCAAGAAGCAGGTCAAAAGGCAGCAACTTCAACAGATTTAATTGATGACTCCACTCTTTTATGACTGCGATACTCACATCCTGATTAGACATTTCCCAATATGGCCGCTCCCCATATGACATCACTTCCCACATGACTATGCCATAACTCCACGCGTCACTTGCAGAGGAGAATTTCCTGTACGAGATGGCCTCAGGAGCAGTCCATCGGATGGGGATCTTACCACCCTGCTCATACACACACACACATAAAAATGAAAGATTAAAAACACACTGACACAAATAAAAGTGTTAGAACTCTGAGGACATTGCAGCCTGAAAATGTTAGTGATATCAACTGATCACATTTTTTTATATGCACAACTTCATTTAACACATAAAGTGCCTCAACCTTGCAAATATCACTTTCCATCAGACTTTTGACTGAAGAAACAAGCTGTTGCATTAAGCTTAAGCTCCTGCTGAGAAGTTAAACCACACATCACTTATAGCCGTACTGTTTTTAATCCTGAGACCAGACCTATCACTTTGTTGTTTATCACTTCCTATTTCACCCCAACTCCTCTCACCTTTCTCATAACCTCTCGCCATGTTTCTCTTCTCGTCTGCTCTGCTCTGCTTACTCTTCTCTTCTCCTCACCTCACCTCCTGCTTTTTTCTCTCTCCTCACCTCACCCTTCACTTGCTCTCGGTTGACCTCAATGACAGTCTTGTGCTTGGACTCGGACAACTTGGAGCCCTAAACACAGCATTTCCTACACACAATAGCCTCAATACTAACCAGGAAATGGAGGTCACCGTGGGCTCAGACAGATTTTCAGAACATGATCCTTTCAGCACAACAGTTTTTGAAGTTAAGCTTTTGCTATCTCAGGAAACTCCATCTTTTGCTGTCTTATAAGAGAGGAAGGCTAGAGTGATGCACTGGTTTGCTCAATTAAAGTAAGACTTTCACATGCTGACAAAATGTAGGGTTTGTAGTGATAAGCTTGCTTTTGGGAATAAAATCAAAAGAAACAACAAGAGCAGCTATTGGCAGAGTTAAATAAATTACTTCAATGTTATGTTCAATTTTTATTAAACATTTACTTGAAAAAGCTGACAAAACACACATGCATAAAACGCATAAATCAGACGATGTTGTAGCCATCAAGTTTGAACTTCTACACATCTGTAATACATTGGCTTGTATCTTCTTTGTTTCAGTGAGTTGTGTGAGGCGTACCGTTGTGGTGTAAGCAGCCTCCGGGTCGTCCTCCAGGACTCGCGACAGGCCGAAGTCTGACACTTTACACACCAGGTTGCTGTTGACCAGGATGTTCCGAGCTGCCAGATCTCTATGAACGTAGCCCATGTCTGACAGATACTTCATGCCTGAAGCAATACCACGCAGCATGCCCACCAACTGGATGACAGTGAAGTGACCGTCATGTTGCTGACAGAGAGAAAAGGGTATGGGGGAAAAAATTATTACATCAGAAGAGTTATTGCAAAAGCCAGGGATATTACAATGGTGCAAAAAACAAACACAGGAATAACTCTGAAAAACATAATGGTATGGCAGGGTGAGTGTGGCTTAGTAGTTGAGTCCTTTGTGTCTAAACAGGAAGGTCAGGGTTTTGATCCCCAGGTCCTGTGGCCACATGTCTGCTGCCACTGCTCCGTCGGCCGAGCGTGAATGTGTATGAATGGGATTACAGTAGCTGACACTGATAGCAACTTTACATAGAAGCCTCTGCCATTGGTGTATAAATGGGTGTGAATGGTTAGGTGTGACATGTGGTGTAATGAAGTCCATTTGACCATTTACCATTTTTTTTATAGAGCAGCAGACTATAAATCGAAAATGTTCACTGCTTACATGAAAGACAAAGTATTTAGCTCAAATCATGCTTATAGTTCACTGATAAGGTGCAAATGCTTATCTGAATTTGGTTATGGTTTTGTTTTGTTTGGCTCAGTTGATTTTAAAACAATTCACCTCAACATTATTTCCTAAAAAATACAACCACAGCAGAGATAATCCGACCAATTCTCAGATCAACTCAACACTTACCCTCAGGAATGAGTCCAATGATCCATTTTCCATGTACTCCACCACAATCATCACAGGCCGACCTGCAAACAAACCAACACAAAAACACCTCTTGTTTTCAGATGTCACTTCTGAGCTGTAATAGATTCGTTTTGCAACAAAAAAAAAACCTACAGTGGGAGTTGAAAGGCAAGACTGAGGAAATGGGACGAAACACTGTTTGACACCAAAGTTATTTCCATTTATTTGCAAAAAAAGACTGAGGAAAAATAAAATGCTTGCGAGCATGAAGTCAGATCGTTGTTTGTGCAGAGATTTCCTCTTTGACCTCTGACCTCTATATATCAATATCGAAATATTGGGGAAAATGACTGTATGTGGTTCATTAAACTATTAGTTGACCAACACTGGCCCTGATCCTGTCATTAACTTTAACACAATATTCAGAGTCACGTAGGAGACTCGTTAACACAATAGCTGACAAAAATCACACTCTGCAAATATGTGTTCATGTGTGTGTCTGTTGCACCTGCCAGTCTGAGAAAGGGAAAGTGAAGGAGCTTGGGTAAACACACATCATGAGCTGATTGATGCGTCAAGTCAAGACTCTGAATTCATAAAACTTTTCTATTCCAACACGTCAAACCTGCCGAACTCAACCTGTTCAGTATGCAGTTTGTGTTTGGCTTGAACATTTCGTTAGGAACACGTTCAAGCACCATCCCTCTGTACAAATGTTAGTGTTCCCCTGCAGAGGATCCCTACGGGGTAAGAGATTGACTGGTTTACAGCTGGGAAGGCGGTTGTCCAGGCCTGTGTGCTGCTGAGCTGTTAAACATTCTGAACTGCTGGAAAGAGAAATAAAAGTATGACTGTGGTGAAGAAACACTGTGATATGACACTTCGAATTCAAGGCAGCTGTTTCCCTCACATGGGAATGTGAAAAACCCCATAATGGAAGGCCAGAAGCAGTTTCATACTGCAGGGGGAAAACAAGGTGCCATGGAAGTGTAGTTGAGAAAAAGGCTTTGGATTCACATTTTCAGGACTTTCAATGTTTTAGCAGTACTCCTGCGCTTTACGCTGGAGACGGTCCCAGAAGCTGAACCATGAACAGTTTGGAAAGAGTTTGCTTATGATGAATTTAAGCAAAAGGGCCATTAAGTCCCTTAATGTTGAAGCCTTTCCTCTCAAGAAAGTTAAACATTCTGTATCCAAACCCATTAATATCACCTATGGCTGTATGTTTCTAAGTGTGGGTCTACTTTTCTGTCACATATTTTTGACTAGTCACAAAAAAGAGACAATTCAAGACCGATCAAAAGACTGTTTGGAGAAAACTCACAAAAAAACCCACAGGTCCCATGATGGTGAGATTTATGCTTCAACAAAACTGGATGAGAACTGGTTTGAAAAAGCAAGCTACTTTGAGTGTTATGTTGGAAGGATCAGAGTTCAATATCAACATTATTATATAAATTACATTAGGACTGTGTTAATGTTCATTTTAAGACAGCCGACCTCAAAATACATTTTTCACCTCAGAAAACAAAACATCTCAGGTATATGAATGGAGGAATACACAAAGCTGTATTTGCTTTAGACCAAATAGGAACCATTGTATTTTTAAGTATGCAAATCTCATCATCCTACCCTCTGCGGATACTTTTCACTTCACCAGTCCAGGAGGGATTCACGGGAAATTATTTGATCAAGCTTTGCCTTCCTCAGCTAATTAGCGCGGTCTGGAAACAATATTTTGCAGTGCGAAGCCTGAACGAAAACAAACGCACCTGTTTACAGTCTAATGTGTCACCTGTTATTTCAGAGCAGGTATAGCAGTCAGTCACAGCACAATACTTCCTGTAATTAGTCTCTGAAGAACAACAAACAGATGTAGGGAGGGGAAAGATCAAAGTCAGATAGAAAAGTCTATTCAGAACTAATATCTCACTTCATGATGCCCCACTGCCCCGCTCACAAATGGGTTTTGATTTTGTGATTTAGTGTGCAAGATGTATTTGTGTGAGTGTATTGATGCACCATTGGACAGGCAGTCACAGGAAGTTGTTTGGCTGTGACGACTTCATCACTGTCTCTTAAACACAGGTGACTACGATTAAATAGAAATGTGTTCATTCATCCGTTCATATTCCGTGTTACAGCTTTGGGTGGTGGGGGGTGGAGGGTGCGGGCAGACAAACGCCGACACAAACACTTGAAGGAATCTTGGTGTTAATGTGTTACTTTTAATGACAGCTATTCTGTTATATCGGAAAGATATCCTTAAATGACTTCTTTCCCTGATTTCCGACTCTATCCACGATCCTATCTCTACAATAAAGGCACAAAAAGCCCAAAAATAAATCAAAAGTGATAAAGTGAAAAATTATTTACTTGACTTTCAGTAATATAATGGTAGGGGAAACACTGATATTTATAATACATTTTTACTAAGCACAATGCATGCACTTAGTTTTTTTATATTTAAAACAGCCCCATGTTTATATAAATACAAGATACGATTTCACTTTCTCTCGTAAAAAGGAAAAACAAAACAAAAACAAAGGCTCTTTAAATAAAAGCAACAACATAATCACAGCTCTATGCTTTATAGTGTGCCATTAGAACGCCACTATTTGGACAAAATATATTGGCTTGATGTCTCTTAAAAAATACAAATGTAAAAAAATTAAGAGAGATAGAATACACAGTGAAGTATTGTCAGAGTTTGTGAAAAAACAGGTATTTTAAATGTCTTTGCAGTGCAGCCAGTCAATGTTGTCGACCTCCGCCAAGGACCAACATGATGAAAAGTTGCTAATTACATTTGCAACTCAAAATGGCCTTTTTTAATTTATCATCATCATCATTTTTTTTTGACCAGACAAATCATCTCATACTTGTTTGGGAGGATTCTGTTCACTCGATTGCTTCAGAGATGGCAGACTGTAAAACTACATTTAAATCTATCAGTGCAAAAACATCAGCAATCAGCAGCTTTAATGAAATAATGGCAGTATTGGCTTTTAAAGACCCTTATCAGCCGAGTCCTTGTCAGCGGGGTCAGAGCTGAGGAGTGTCCTCTATTTACATTCAGGGAGGGGTAGGAAGTCTTCAGGGGACACATTTATATTCACAGCCATGTCTTAGTTTATACACCCCCTGTAAAAACAACCATATGTTGCACTGGGTGAGCCCCGTAAAACAGAGCTCGTTAACAAGTCTGCATGCAGGCACGCAGGAACGCACACACATACACACAAACGCACGCACACACACACACACACACACACACACACACACACACACACACACACACACACACACACACACGCACGTACAGAAACAGAGACCTTTGTAGATAAAGCACATTTTTGCACAAAGACAGGGCACTATAATTAACATGATGATGCATGCTACCCACCAACACATGAATACAAACACACTCACCCTGACTCTGGGTTTGTCGTGGATTTAGCACATATACTCTGCACAATGTATAAATTCAAACTGAAAGTACGCCCATAAACAGAAGTCTGTTTTTCAAAATGGTAATATTATGTATCCAAAGATGAGACTACTGCTTCCACCTTTACTGCAATTTACCATTCAAACAGCCAGAGGTGTAAATTTACCCATCAGCCCTTGGTAAACGATGTGATGGCTTTAACGATAACAATCTGAAATGCTCTGACTCTTGGCACTTTTAAAAGGGCAAAGTGTTTAATATAAGAATTGCAGTTGGGCTGCAGGGAAATCAAAATAAAATAAAAATAACTGTTTCTGAAAGCAATATGGTGACTTAATGGCAAATGTTTATTAATCTTAATGTATAGATTAAGGTTATTTCTGGGTAAATGTCCCACACACATGTGACAGAATTGTACAAAAGAAGCAGAAGAGTGGCTTTGAGTGTAGCTGTTGTGCACTGCATCAAATAGATAAATGTGACACATGTAAGTGTGACAAGTGACAAAACCAAACAAAAAGCATTGGCCATGAAGAGTTGAAAATAACTCTTTGTCATGAGTGATATCAATAATTTAGGGAAAATCCATAATCCTACTTACTTTTTGTGACTACTCCCTCCAACCGGATGATGTTAGGGTGGTCGAACTGTCCCATGATTGACGCCTCCCGCAGGAAGTCCCGCCTCTGGCGCTCCACATAGCCTCCTTTCAGTGTCTTTATTGCCACAGCAATCTCCTTCTTCCCCGGGGTTCTCAGGCGTCCGCTGCACACCTCGCCAAACTCACCTAAAGCACATAATGCACACACAGACACACATGCACAAAGTGAGGAGATTAACACCAGACTCCTCTTCATCAGCAGCACCACTGTATACCACATGGGGGCAGTGTTGCAGTTCCCATCCAAACTCCAGCATTATCGCCTCTTCTCAGATTAGTTAAACTTGATGAAACTCTCCATCTCACCTACTAAAAAAAAAAAACTCAGATCTATTATTATACTCTCTTTTGTTCTCTAAACCTGTTAAGGCTTTAATATTGCTACAGTCTGTGCAGAGAAAATGACAATGAGACACTAGGAAATGGAAAAAAAAAACATCCTACTTAGAGAACACAATGGAGTAGAGTAGGTTCACAAGAATTATATTTGTTGAATGAAAATAGATCATCTCCTATAACACATTAAAAAGCGATTGTGAGTGTAACCAGCATGAAACACTTCTTTTCCACACAAAGGAAAAGAAAAGGCTCAAATCAGCGGGACAAGTGGCTGAGTGTGTTACTACAGTATGTGTGTGTTTGTGTGTTTACCAGCTCCGATCACCCTCTCGATGCGGATCCTGGACGGGTCGATCTCCTTGGTGAACTCATGGACAGCCTGCGTGGGGTCTTCATATGTGTCAGGGTCGACATACGTCTTTATTCCTGGGAAGGGAACTTTGGAAAACAGAGGGAAAGATAGAGTGTCAACTCAGAATTAACGTAGAGAAATATGTGTCACCACAAGTCAGTTTTGTGGAAAGTCAAGTATATAAAGAAAAATGCTAGCATTCAAAAATAAAATCCTGTAGACAACAATAAAGCAAATGAGACGTGATGCTGTAATAAAAGACAAACCAAAGCAATCATAAGGAAAGAGGCTTAGGCTATGAAACAAACCATATTACTACAATGACCCTGCTTCAATGCTGTGCCTTATATTCTCTGTTTCCTGTTTATATCTACACAGGGTGCCTGAGCTGCCATCCATAGAGTTAAACCAAACACAATCACAAAATGCCTAGAATGGCATGACTAAAAAAGAAAAGAAATTGAGATAAAGACTATATTCTCATTTATTCCTTCTGTACTGTTTTTCCCCCCTCGCAACACTGCATACATTGTTTAACGTTTTAACATTAAGACAGCTGGCTTCAGACACATTGAGAAACAATTTCCACTTGATCATAAGCTTGCAAGCTGAGTTTTCCTGTCTGTTGTTCAGTGACTGCTCTGTAGCAAAGCACAAGAGCAAAAGTGTTGCCTCCCTCTGAGTCTGCAACACATGCACAAATAAACCAACACACACAAACATTGATAGCTTGTTGAGGACGCAGCAGGGAGGCACACTGAGACAGTCTTTTCAGCAGGTCGAGGTTTTTTTTTGGCCTCTGAAAGCATCCACCCCTGCTGAAGTGTCCTTGAGCAAGTCGATGAAACTTTAACAGGACGCTGCTGTTCGGGCTCTTAACCCTGACCTCCCAGCGGAGGGGGGGGGGGGCCAGACAGAAGCTGTGTTTCTCCTTTAGGAATCGATACAGTATCTCAAACACACACAGACAGAAGAAAAAAAAAAACACCAAAACAGTGAGTTGTCTCTGATGCTCAAACCTATACACCAAAACCCCAAGGACCGTTTCTCCTCTCTAAGCCTCTAAAGAACACCACACTCAGGGAGGAGACCGGAGACGAAACACAAGAGATGCAGGATTTCAACTTCTTCAGAAGCAAACACACACATAATTAAAGTGAGCATAAACACACTCGGTAAAATTTAGAAGTGTCTTAATCTTGAATACCAGAGAATTATATTGCTGCTTGTAAGCCATTTCAAAAAATAATATTCCTTTTCTCACATCATTTTGCTATCATGGCTTTTCAGCCACACTTAAATTGCCCCCATAAAAGTGTCTTGTTTCTCTTTGTCCTCTCCACTTTTGCACCTTGCAGCCTCCAACCTTGTTTCTCTCTCCTCTCTCTTCCATCCTATGCGGATTTTCCCCTTGTCTCACCTCAGTCTTCGCCTTTCTGCTCAATTTCAAAGCTCTTTTGTTTTTTTTCACCTTACAGCTCTCATTTCAATTTGTTTTTCTCCTGTCTGGAATGAAAAGTTAGGTATTAAAAGAAGGAAAAAAAAAAAGAGACCGGCAGACGACACATAAAAGTACAGGAGGGCAGACACAGAAAGTCAAGGGATGCACCTGTGTAACCAGATTAATATAAAAAGAAGAAGAACTCGTGTAAAACATCAAATGAAACTTGAGGGGAGGAGAGGAGCAGAGAAAGAGACAAGGAGGGAGGGGGGAGAGGAAGGAGAAGCAGAAAGATGAAGGAGCATGCTGCTTGAAAGCGTTTTGCTCCGTTGACATGTTTGACGTCTTCATTCCTGAAACTATCATAAAAATACCACATTTGCCACTTCTTTTGTTGCATTCTGTAACAACAGGAAGCCAGACTCGTTTTTGATTTCTGTAAGATTTGAGGTGGGGACTGTCACTCCCCTGCAACATTCAAATAAGCATTTGCAGAGAAACACATGGGAAATGATCCATACAGCAGTACACTGTGTGTTGAATGCAAAGAGAAGAGCAGGTGGTTAGCCTGCTAGCTGCTAACTGTGCCTCACACCATCCCTCTCTTCTTCCTGCTATTGGCAAATTAAAACCTGGCACTTTTACACCAAATCAAATGGTTTTTGTTTTCTGGCAAAAAATCTTCGTCTTTTAGATCACACACGCAACTTGCCAAGCATTTTATTTAAACGAGAAAAGAAGATATTACTTAGCCCGACTATCATTACCATAATTATGGAAATTGTGCTAGACCTAATGTGAAACTAGCGAAAAAAAAATGTGCCAGTGAAGACAAAGTGTAAAAAGAACAACAAGAACGATTGATTTACCATGTCCATTCTGATAACTGGTCCTCCTTTTCTCTTCTGAAGTCATCTTGGCCTTAAAGTACCACTGACACCTGGAAAACACAAACAGTCAGTTGTGCATTATATAAGTGATTGCATAGTCTTAGCTAAATATCCAGAACATGCACACTGGGATGGTTTTTCAACGTACTTAAATGAAAATAATGCTTGAGAAAATATTAATTTATTAAACATGGTGAACGTACAATGTACAAACCCCTCGCTCTCAAAAAGTGCCTCGATATTGGGGCCTGTGTTTGACTACAGTACTAAATGGATCATGTGGATTTACACAATTTATAGAGCATGTCAGACTGTGGACTAATTAAGTTAACCACTATCCAGATATGTCATTCACATACTGTGCCAGCCCACCTCCAGCATGGTGTGTGAACAGCTTGATATGGCAACAATTTGGGTCCTCAATTATTTTCTGAGAGAAAGATTAGATAGCCAGGATACATAACCCCCTTAAAGATGTGTACAGGTGTACATTGTGTTGTTGCATTAACTATTCAGTGTTTTCTTCTGAGAAGTTTTGATACTTTTAAAAAAATCTTTCATACCACAGACAGATAATTTCACACAGACACAGGGGTAGACATGAAGTGTAATTAAAACAACCTCACACTAAACTGCTAGTTTTAATACATTTGAACTTCTAAAAGCTTCTCAATCTTACAGCTTTTAAAATTTGTTATGAGAGCTATAGTAACATATACAGAAATGAGATAAGTGGAAAAAAAAAACAGAAAAAAAAGGGAAGTGTGAAAGAGAACAAGGAAGCTGTACATAAACCAGATGGTAAGAGTAGACAGATTAAGAGCTGTTATAGAGGGAGCTAACTGCTCCATTAAAGTACCAATAAATGCACATTTTTGTGATAATGTACATCCATACAACCTGCTCATGAGAAATTCAGCGTATTAGGTAAAAATACAAACAAGACCAGACAAAAGAAAATGAGATAAATGCATTTTTTTAACCATTCAAGGCAGGATGGAAAAAAAATAAAACTATATTGTCAGGTTGATCGATCAGCAGACCTTTAAAAAAAAAAGAAAAGATGTTGGCAGGCTGAATGAGTTGGCTTCAGAAGTGATAGTTTATCAAAAATGATGATGATGATGAAGGTGGTGTGATTTGGACGCAGACACAAAGTTAAAAATCCCTGAGAAAATGAGGAAATGGAAAAAAATCTCTCTTTTAATCATTTTTTAAGTTAAGTCCTCTCAGAAAATCTAACGCCATTAAAAAGGAAGTGTTCTTGCTTCCTCACCCTCCTGAGTGTGTGTGTGTGTGTGTGTGTGTGCATTTGTGTAAGCGAGTTTATCTGGGCACTGACACACCAAGAGACAGCCAACCGCTGATAAAAAGCTGCCGCCAAGAAAGTCTGAAAAGCTGAGAGATTAGATGACAGCATCTGCAAAAGAATTTATCCAAATAGATCCTTGGATGTCACCCCAAAATAAAAAGTGAAGAAAACACCAAGTGTCAGAATCACACCCAAAATCCTGTTCATGGCAAAGTAGAACGAGCAGATGGGGGATCTGACTCACAGCTGGCGCCAGTTATCATGCTAAGCCATGACATTTTTTCTTTATAATTGCAACAATTCATTTGAATAGAATCTAAACTATAGCATACTTTGCTTCTGCTATTGAACTTTTCTTTCTTACTTTGTTTTGCCCGTCCATTCCTTGGTTACACAAACCGAACAACTTCCATAATACAGACACAGATACATCAAGAAACCCATAAGATAACAACAGCAAGGCCCCAAGTACCAACACATGTTTGTACCCAAATGACCCAATATGTCTCCTGATAACCCTCAAGAGCCTCAGGAAAGGGATCAGAATGAGCTTTCTTATTTGAGATAAATATGGTTAAATCTCCGCTTAAGTTAAACATCTGGTCACTCAACAATTTTAGTCATTCGAATATGGTTCATATTCCCAAAATGTTTAGTAATGAATTCAGTAAAAAAAAACAACAGCACAGTCAAAAAAAAAGAGAGAAGCTCAAACGCTATGCTTACAAGTATTTGGTATGTGGTGCGTGACAGGTGGAGGTGGCAAAGCTTAAGAGGAGCACTGAGATGAAAATTAATTACATGAAGGAGGAGTGGTGCTCTGAGTTCTCTCACAGGCCGTATCACTGATGAATTTTAAAACTCATTTTGCAGTAGAGGGCTTAATTAATGACCTTGTGCACAAGGGACACACTCCATGAGTGGATTACTTAATATAAGTTTCCGTTTTTTTTTTTCTTTTCCATTTTTGAGATAAAATCTTATTTCTGCTTCCTGTTTCATACACCTCACTCATCTGGAAGTATACAGGTCAATAATGAGACCCCATTTCAATTACCTCAAAGGCTTTATGTAAAGTGGTCATCAAGAGTTAAAAGCTGACATTTATTTCACTGCACTGGAAAACTTTGAGGGTGAGCAATAGCAGCTAGAGGAGCAGAGCCAAGAGGCTTGACCTGAACCCCCAGCAGAGACATAGGACAGAAACAGAGGTCTCTAATAGCCACACTGTCACTTCAAAGGAGAGTGCTCTCTAAACTGTCACTCCAGACAAGTCCACCTCCCCCCTCAGCCCTGCACCTCCACACCCCCGTGGTCCAGATGAGAGATGCTATCTCTCCCCTGGAGATGAAGCTGGCAGAGCTGAGGGACAGAAGTCTGCATCTTGGCCTGAGTCCCACAGGAAATTATAGAATGACAGTTTGACTATCGGTGTGAGTCTGGTTCAGGCCCATAATACAAAACTAACATCACATGTTTACATCTTCCAATACGTTATTTATTATTCATTTCAACACTGACAAGATAACGAATCACTAACAGCAAAAATTCTACATTCAACTTAAACCATGCTGCTTGGTTATATTGAAAATGATTCAATTAGTGACACTTAGAGTGATTGCAGATATGAATTCAAAGTGTTGCAAAGACATTTAAAAAATAGAGCTGAAGATGTGGTAGAAATAAGTAAAGTATTTTATTCAAGTAACTGGAAAATTCAGTATAGACCAAACTGTAATAATTCTTTTCTCTGCACGGGTTCTGATCTTCTTTTGTGACATGATCTAGTGTGGACAACTCATTCATATTCAATATAAAATGAATGAACTTAAATAAACCCCATTATATTCCCAGTTTGACCCTTCTTCTCAAAACAATGGTGAACAATCAATAAACACAAAACATGAAGGACCACACTGTGGTCCACTACCACAGTAACTAGGAACGAATAAGTTACTTTCCAGATTGAATAGCACTGCTAGAGTTACTCGTTAGTTCGTGTGAAACTGCCGACAACAACACCAGATTCAGGTTTATTGACATCGATTCACGCTTACATCAGTACAGTAGCATCCTGGGAGAAAGAACGTTGCACACAGACAAACAAACATGGGCAGGTGATCATCCAGCCGTGAGCTTCCCGTCTGGGAAGTTGTTGGGAGTTGTGGGAGTTGTAGTTTACGTGCAGGGAGGACAACTTCTCTCGCAAGAAAGAATCACCGAGCTAAACAACAACACACTTCCACTAAACTATCTGTCAGAGATAGACACTGCGAACACCAGAGATCCAGGTGCAGCTCCCGTTAGCTCGGCAGACCAAAAAAGAGACACTCCACACAAAGAGCCGGCTTGATTTATAACACCGTCTGTTCCACGATCTGTTAGCCAGACTAGTAGACTGTCAGACAGGTATGTTGTCAGTGACGTGCTTCATATCAACGGCTGAGTCTGTTGCCTTTAGAGATCTAATTGGTAAATTACCGTACCAACAAATTCAATATGACTACAATGTTGTTGGAAATGTGTGAGTTGTCACAGCACAACTCAGTTACTTTTTGGTCGTAGTAACTAGAAACTGTAAGCAGTTACTAATTTTCTCTAACATGCCCTACACAGTTCATAATAGGATACATATTAATGTATTTAACTTCAACATCAATTGCTCTCAGTGCCTCCCACTGAATTCGAGTTTGACATTGTAGAGCTTTTAAACTTCAACAATGATAAATACGATTTCACCTGTTCAGTTAGGAACTGCAGACAATAATACTCAATAAGAATACTTGGAGGTTAACATAATATTTGGTCAAAGCAAAGTAACTAAACTGTCTTGATTCAACGTAATCTGTGATAAATATCTATTAACTAATCAATTTCTGAATCATAGTCTGACAGGAAATAAGATCAAGTATAAAAAGTGATCCACAGTGTCTGTAGCTGCTGCATCATCATGATCGTCATCCTCTCGCTTTATGTATGATCTGTTTTTGTGAAATTTACCATTTTGGTAAAACTTCCAGCAAACAGTGAAAATTGTTCCACGCCTTTACTCTGAATAACCTTGTCTTGACTAAGCTGCGATTGGAGACTAAGTTACCATGGTGATGTAGCCAGGTTAAAAGAGCTTGTGGCACTGATAGCTCTACCCCTTATCTTGCTCTGTTGTACACTGACTCCACAGGAAGCTCCATGATGTAACAAAGTCACAGTTGGCCCAATAACATCAAGAAGTTTGCAGTCTGTCCAGTTTGTTCTTTTTCTGTATCGCCTCTGCAAAACCTCTTTCTCAAAACTGATGAGAGGCAATGATGCTGCTTCAGTAACTCCTCTAATCAACAAAAACAACCTCCCCCAGATTAGAGAGCACTCTATGGCCAAATAGAGTGGCTAAATGATGCAATAACGAAGGCTGCAGCCGGGAGTGGAAACGCCCGCGCTGTAGTTGAAGAAAGTGTGTACCAAAAAGTGTGTGATTATGTGTGTTGTTTTGTGTGATCACATGTGAGCCTCCCCATCTTTGAAGACTTATCATAATCCAGGTTGCCAGATTAGAGCTGGTGTCAGAGGGCCACGAGCTGCAGGTTGCCAGATTGGGCTTGGGCTAAGTGAAGTCTGTGGGATCCTGGACACTGATAGACAGAGCAGATAACACGGGTGGGTAACACTGGCAGAGAGGACAAGAAGGGGATTTAGAAAGCTACTGTTGACCTCTGCTGATGGGGTCAAGCTGTTCATTAAAGAAATGGTGGCATGTGCCTTTATCAGTCTTTTGCAGTCCTATCCTCTGATCCCCTTTATCCGCCTATCCCTCTGTCTCCAAGGCTTTTATGTTGAAAAGAGGCCGCACACACTGACACACAAAGACACTTATCACACACAAAGACCTTGGCTTCCTCCACTGCTCTCTGGCCTGTTAAGCATTGTTACAGTACATATTCACAAGCACTTTGCACAAGCACACATGCACATGCACTTCAGTAAAAACAACCTTGCCCACAGCTCTAATCAAAGCATCAGTGTAATTCAAACCACTCGTCTCTTGGCCTAACATCCCTCACAGTTACCTCACAGAGGGCACAGAAGAAAGGGAGGATTAAAAGAAATATGAAGGGAGATAAAAGAGTTTCGGAGACTGACAGACAATTAAAGGAAACAGTAAAGCTTTTCATTTATAGGCTGCATCTGTGCAATCATGACCGCTTTTCTATGCTAGAAGTTTGCACCCGACAGATTTTGCATGAGTTTTATGCAAACATAGATGAATTTAACTCTGAGGACGGCCAGGTGTTAAAACTCGGCATACAGCTGGTCCCCTTATATCTTCAATTGAGTTGTACAACCTCACATCTATGAGAGCTGAGTGACTGAATGCTCTCATCTTTCTCCGGCAGCTCAAGTGCATTTGGAGCTTTTATGAAGCTAAAAGAGACTGAGAGTCCCTCCTACACAGGGCAGAGGGATTGCAGACTTGACAAATCGTGATGAAGTCAAAAAACACTCCAACTACCACTGCGGCTGTTTTTTGCAGGGTTAAGGTAAAAAAAAAAAAAAAAAAAGAAGGTACTTCTAGTGCCAGAACGCTAAAAGCATAAAGGGCTTACTTTAGCTCTGGTATCAAGTGAGTTTAAAAAAAAATAAACTAGGAACACAGAGCCTCCTACACAACCTGACATCCCATCATCAAAAAAAGAAAAATGCTGTTAAGTCCTACTCTGACTCTTTGCCTTTGATTTGTTGTGGGTGAAAGAATTTAAATTCTTTTGACATTGACGAAAATAAAAGACTTCCCTATGAGTAATTGCACCATGCCTGCTCCAAAACCGATTACATCTTTGTGAATTTTACTGCTCAGTCGTGGACTTTCTCTGGCAGCCGGCACTATCTACACTCAAGAGTTATAAGGTGAACTTCCTATAATGTGCACTATAGATCCACACACTGAAAAATGCTATTATCAATGCAAGTCTTTGCTGTGTTCTTAAGTCAGTATTAGGGATTGTATTATTCATTATCTGCAATGAGATCCAAATAGTTGCGGACTGATAAGGCATTTATTTAAGATAGTATAGTGAAGATTTAGACAAACACTAATGGCATTACAATATAAGGGTACTAATTCCATGAATGAAGAAAGTGAGAAGCTTTTAAAGGCATATTCATCTTTGAGAAATAAGCAGCGGAAGGAATTTGATGACTTATAGCAAAGTTAGCATTTGAACATTTTTTGGGGGCATCAGTAAAGGTCTCATATGAACGTCAAATTTATAAGAAAAAGAAAAGTCTATGTTTGATAACAAGGAATACTTGGCTTGAGTTTGGCCACTTCATTCACTAATTCAACATATATTTATCCTCGAGAAATCATGGAGGCCCTCATTTACAATGATGTCGAAAGTACAATTTAAACTAATGGAAGACAAAAACAACAATGACAAAATACATTGATTATAAGACAAGAACAATAAAGCCAGCAGAGCAGGAAACTACAGTTAGGAACATTTACACTCATGAGCACAGTGATTTATAATCATGTTTGTAAATTGACCCATGGTAACCATTGTATTGAGTTTTAATGTGTACAAAAGGTAGAGGATGTTTTCCCACTGTTAGTGTTTACTTGTGGGACCCTCAACATTAGCCAGTCACTTGATCTGATACTGATTATCAAGAAGTGTAATTTATCAACCTATGGATAACATGAGCTTACAATAAATACTCCACCTCTGCATTATTCATATGGATGAGACTCTCTGTAGCCTGCCAGAATATTCATACATCACACTAAATGCACCCTCCTTACACCCACACAGACAACAGTCATGGTTTTTCTGCAACTAAATGAGCAATTTACTTGGTTATCTCTTCTCATTATTTAACTCTATTTGGGTTATTATGTATCAGTTCTATGAGTGGCTGAAAAGCTAAATATTCAGACAGGTAGCAGAACAAAAGTATTTTATCTTGGACTTACATTGAATACTTGGACAGAAACTAAACCACATTACTAATCATATACAATTTTGAAAACTGGATATGTGAATGAATGATATGTCTCATTAACCGTATATCTCAATGAATGCAATCTACGTTTCAACTGTGCAGTTGAAACGTAGATTGCAGAGGTTACTTTCAGGTCAGTTGCAGAAGCAGACGGTCACAGACAGTCTCGTTCAGGTGAATATTTCAGTTCTGTCACCTAAGGCTAACTGTTTAAAATCAGCTGCCCTGATAACAGCAGACATGGCCTGTCTCATGTAGTCCAAAGTCTTGATGGATAACCAAATGCTGTCCCTATATGACATGTATGACCTCAAGCCATTTGACTCAGGTTAGCTTAGGTAAGCAAAGTTCCTCGTTTAGAACTTAAGAACTTTTTCAGTCACAAGTTCACCAACTCTTAGATTTCCATCACGTACTAAAAACATCTGCATTAGTCTCTACAATTGGATAAAGCCAGTACAACTACTTTAGGAAAATATTAATTATAATTATGTATTATTTGATAAAGTCTATGCAATTGTGGAGTAGGATGTTTTTCTCTGTGTTTGAGTGCAACTTCATTTCTTTGAGATATTTATCAGGGGAAGGCAATTTATGCATTTTCCAACACTCTCAACTTCATGATTCTAAATAAGGTCAACTTGTTTTACGCCATTGTGTTGCTTGTTTCTTCTTTCTCAGTCGCATTATACATTATTATTAAGTTACACAAAAGTGAAGGCACCGTTTCTCTTTGTGCTTTTATTCCTAAAAACTTGTACATGTTCATTGAAAACTATTCTGCACAATCACAAATATAACAGATCAAATATGTTTTTAACCTTATTCCTAAGCATGTTACAAGACACATTTCACAAACAGAGTCACACATATTAAAACATCTGTTTATGGCAACACTCTGGTCACATGATCCATCCATCCATCCATTTTCTTCTGCTCACTGGGGCTAAGTTTGCTTCTCATCCACAAAAATCAAACAGTGATCAGTGAAAAGGTGATCGTTCTGTCACTACAACAAATATTTTGAAAAGCCTTACATGAACATTCTTCAATTCACCACTGTTCAGAATACCAAAAAATAATTTGCAAATACCCATATCTGCTCTGTATACTGGCAGACTTTTGGATTGTATGCGTCAGATAAAACAGCTTGGCCTACACTTAGCATTGCTGCAACCACTTGACCTTATGAACACATAATATCCACAAGTAACTTTTCATCTTCTTTTATGTTTTTCAAGTACTTCCTGCCAGTTAACAAGCACATTAAAATCATCTGGCCAAGCAGATAATACATAGACTGTACGCTGATGAAACAACTTTTAGTGAAGAGCTCTTACCTTCCCGTGATCAGCAGGAAGAGGGTGAGGATGACGAGGAGGGTGAATCCACCAACGGCTGCAGTGACGATGACCAACACCTGGCCTTGGTCTGAAGCGATGTGTGATGCTGGTGGAGGGTGGAGGTTGCATTAAAGAATAAAAAAGATGAAGTGGGAAAGAATGCAAAGAATAAGAAGGACAGAATGACGAGAGAGGGGAGATTATTTAATGGGTATTGAATGGAGAGGGGGAGGGATGATGAATAGGATGTAAGGAGAGATAAAAAGGAGATTAAATAGGAGGCAGGATCATTCACAATCAATTCTACATGAAATATCTCCTTACATTAATGCACCATACATAGAGCATGCACACAGTTTTTTATTACAGACCCATATGACAAAGAGATTTTTGATCAGCTCTGTTATGTGAAAAAAAAAAAAAAACTCGGTCAGCTTTCATGCTGTAGTGATTCATATGCCTGCTGCTGTTTAATTAATATTATTCATTCATGAAATTGTGATTTAGTCCATGATCATTTGGTTAAATTGGTCCCTTTTGATATTCATGATTTCTGTCTTGTCACAAGGCTAACGAATCCGAGATAATTGAAAGATGATTGCTATTACCAAACTTATTTCGATAATAATGAATATGAATTGGAGATCATGGTGCATGGTAGCTAGCCAAATGAGGGAGGATTATACAGTATTTGAACGGGTTGCTGTTGAGTCAAGAGCATGTATGTGTGCGCAGGGTGTCAAGACTGTTAGTGTGTGTGTGTGTGTGTGTGTGTGTGTGTGTGTGTGTGTGTGTGTGTGTGTGTGTGTATGTGTGTGTGTGTGTGTGTGGCTGGATAAAAGTAATTACAGACCACTCAGAGGGAGGGAGAGTGAAAGTGGCGGTGGCCAGATCACACAAGACAATTCTCCAAGCCGTCAGCTTCACACACTCTTCACATTACTAACTAAGCAGACGTATTGGACTGACGGTGCTGTAATGAGCTGCATGTTTGTGTGTGTGTGTGTGTGTGTGTGTGTGTGTGTGTACGCGTGTGTGTTTAAAGCTAGAGAGAGACAGGCGACTAAGGACAGGACGAAGAACGAAAAAGAGGAGAGATGAGGAAACGGATGACAGGAGAGCGATAAAGACAAACATGAGAGAAGGAAAGAGGCGGAAGTGGCTGACAAATACACGGACGGATGAAAAAAACAAGTGCATGAGACGGTGAGTGACAGGCAGACAGGCAGACTGACAGGGAGGGAGAGCGCGACAGAGGCCAAATCTGCTTTCTCTTCCACATAAAAGGCCAGCAGTACAAAGGCTTGGCAAAGCAGTGTCTGATCTGCAGATAAAGCAAAGCTCCCTCTGCAGCTTTGGAAGGGAGAGAGGGCCACTGTGAAGCCAAATCAGCCCTCAACAATACCTGACCCGACATAAAAGGGCAGCTGGACCTTTTGTATTTTATGAGTGGACTTGCAATGAAGCTACTACCAAACACACAAATTCACACCGATAACAGGATTTCTGATCACTTCAAACGATTCAGAAATGACTGCAATGATTTAGCCATTGGTGATTTTGTGACTGTAATCATATTTATTTTCTTCCTGTGAAAAATGTTCAGCATCTTATCCAAAGGTTGTTTGAACCCTGCTATGGATGCTCCTGTCAGATGGTTCATATCCCAGCGTTGCTATCTGCTGTCATGCTCTTGGTGGGAAGCTGCCCTGAGCATTGCTCCAGGCTACCTGAACTTCACCTGACCCCGAACTGCTGCTCGTCGCTAACATTTCACTCTAACACCGTACTTTCTTGAAGGTGAACATAAAACTCAAAAAGAAACATTATAACCTGCATTTTTATTAAGTTTTCAGGACATGTTTTTTTTCTCCCTTCAAGGATAGCTTTAAGGTTAAAGCTGAAATATTCATGAGAGAGGCTTCGCTTGCCATTGCAACCGAAATGACCATTATCATTTTCCCCCCAATAGGTAAGATCATAACTGGAACAACCCGTCAAGTTACATGAGGTCATTTTTACCCTTAAGTTAATTTATGTTAGTATTTTGTCTTTTCCTGTTTTACTTTGTACTTATCTGTGTCTCTGCCTTTCAGATCCTGCTCTTTGTGTTTTCCCACCTTGTGCTCCCCCCGGCCTGCTTGTGCTCACCTGTGTCTCGTCACCCCCTGATTGTCTGTGTATTTAATCCCTGTGTGTCCTCCCTCTTGTTGCCACTTTATATTGTGTTGCGTGTGTCGTCTAGTTCCAGCCTTTTACTTCAAGTGAGCCTTCTAGTGTTTTTTGACCTTGCCCGCCTTCTCTTTTTTTGCCTTTTTCTTGCCCGTTTTTTTTTTTTTTTTCTGCTCCTCTGATTGTTTACCTGTACATCTATCGACCTGGACTGTTTCTTAAACTCTGCTCTTACTGAACTCTGCCTCATGCTAGTCTGCATTTTGGGTCCATGTTTCTATTGGTTCTGTTATTAACTTGGGATGTCTGGAGCTCTGCAGAGTAGTTGAACCTTTGAACCAGCTTCACCTCATTCTGACAATAAGAGTGAGATAAATTGTTTGCTGCCATTTTGCATGATATCTGCATTCTTCCCCTAACATTGCACTGTTGTTCAAAAACTGCACTTCTATATATTTAACTAGAAGCAGAATGAAATGATCTTAATTAATTCCAGACTTAACTCTCATCTTGTGATATTAATCTAAAACACTGTTGTCTGCAGAAGTCAGGTAAAAATACACACAATCACACAAAGACAGATGCATTCCTCCATAGAAAAAGATAGTAGTGATGGTGTCAGGTACTTACAATCCCCCGTGGTTTCATATTCATATTTCGGGGAGTAGGAACTGTATCCAGCTGGCGTGCGGGTGCGAACACTGAAGACGTACCACGTCGCTGGTTTTAAACCCGAGATTATCACACTGGGGGCTCTGGTGCGCGTAGACGAGTAGCTCAGCTGCTCGTGTTCCTGTGGGAACCGATGGAAAATGATCAAAATAGGAATCATGAAAAAAGTTCTACAAAAAGTGATCTTGTCACATTAATGAGCAGATTCACCTACATTACAGGTGCAGTGTTCATTTGTGTGGTCTTACTGTCCTTTCACTTTGAAAATTGCTTGTTGGACAATGTCTGTCTACTGGGGATGGAGAGCTAAGAGTTTAAAACTTTTGTGGACAGAACATGGGTAATACATAAATCTAAAAAGTATTTATTACTGAACTGCTGTTGCACTGAACAGATATCACTGTCTTAAAGAATAAATCCATGCAAACCAATATGCAGGGAGATTGAATAAATCATGGATGTGGTTTAAAAGGGGTTATTATCCGTCCTTGTTTGCGCTTTTGGAGTGCTTTATAACCACATAAAGGTTACCATTGATTGTATTTGTGTCTTGGGACACGCCAACTCACAGAGAGTTTTTTTCATTTCTATCTTTTTGGCTCATTAGATCAGACAGCCCATCTCATTCCACTCTTAACAATTCCAGATATTGCTGTGCTACACTTGGACTGGGCTTGCATCTCAAAATTGTAAAATCATTTTGGGCTCTCACCCAAAAGCTTTGTGTTTGCACTTGAATCAATTCAAACAAAGCTTTAAAGCATGCATAGATTTTTTTTATATCAATAAAAAGACATGTACAAATTCAATTTTTGTACTGATAGTATGTTGAAGAATACAAGCTTATTTTTTTAAATTCTAATTTTATTTGGTGAGAGTTACAGGTAACAGCTCTTGGCATGATATTATTGTGTCACAGGTTTTGTATTTGACCCATTGAAACACTAAACAACAACATACAGTAGCTGTGAATAGATTTTAATAGTGACTTTGCTCATGAAGATCTTTTAGTCTGAGGCCAAGTTATACAAAAAACCTTGATATGTCTATTGTTTTTTAAATAAATACACTAAATATCTAAATATATTGAAAACATTTTCACAGATTTTTACACCTGCATGATCTGTATTTATTCTGGTTTATTTATTTGCTATAAATAAGTCTCCGACAAGGTCAGCTCCATAATTTAAGCCTGGACCTGGACATGAGCAGAACCAATTGTACCTTCTCATAATATTTAATCTCATAGTCAAGGATGGGAAGGGATGTTTGTTCTGGTTGCTGCCAGGAGAGAGCGATGCTGTTTGGAGAGGCCCAGTCCTTCTTCAGAGTCCCAACCAGAGATGGACCTGTTTAAACACAAAACACAAAACACAAGAAAGTCCTCAGCTTCACTGCGTTATTTTACAAACAATTATGTAGAGTCCAGTCTTCTCTGATTTGTATCTTTTTGTGTCTACATACAGTATTTGCATATACAGTATATATGTATACACCTTTCCAATAAATCAAATAAATCACGGACAGGATATTTTTAAACACTTCACCTTCTGCTAAAAATGTTTTTAAGCACTTTGTGGCAACCATTAGTTGTTAATTTAAGGGAGTTGTCTTACTGTCTCTTGTGTATATCATTATTGCTCTTGAAAAAAAAAGCAAAAGTAATTTAATTCTAAAAATTGCAGAGCATGCAATATTTCATATAAGACAAGTTTATATATATAGTCAATTTCAGCAACCAGGCAATACAAAGTGCTTTACACAAGAAATAAAGAAACATGACATTGATCAAAAATAATAAATTAGAGAACACCCTGAATAAATAAACTTGATTACTCACAAGAATAATCAATAAAATACTTCATTACTAAAAATATTGAGTATTGCATCTTGTCCCATCTCTCCCTATCCCTTTTTCATGCCCGGCACAGTCTTGGCATGAGGGGCTGTTTCGTCATGAACCTGGGATCTGACGAATATTTCCGCCTGTTAAAAGGACGTTTTTTCTTACCACTTTAACTTTTGCTAAATGTTGCTAAAGTGCTCATGATGGATTAAGCTGGGTCTTTGTGAGTAAGGTGTTTTACCTGCTTTTTGTAAAGTGTCTCGAGATGACACTTGTTATGAGTTGACGCTATACAAATAAAGATTGATTGATTGATTGATGGATGTATTATGTTGCCATTCCCTTTTACTGTACCTCCAGTCTTATTTATGCAAAATTGTGTGCTGACATGCTAAGCAACAGTAATAAGGCAAAATAAATCAACATTACCATCTAAATTATAAGCATGCAAAACTTGATGTCACTATTTAGCCTAAGTCCATCCCCACAGGGCTGCTAAAGTGGCTGCAGACTTTTCAGGATGAAGGGAGAATCAGTTGACCTCAGCAAGCAGTCAGTTTGAGAAGAATGTGCACTGAATACTGAGTGTTGATTTTTTTTTTCAGCAGCCACAATACATTAAGGCGTCATAGTACAATAAGCTATATAGTAGATTAAGAAAACCACACAAGAGATTTCCACCTGTCCATTCTGTCTGGAATAATTATCAAACATCCACGATCAGCCATAATTATTTTATTTCAAATAAGCCTTAGTTCTGTCAAGTCCAAGGGAAAACAAAAAAAACCTTTACACAGCTTTTTCATTCTCCCACAAGATCATCTTGTTTTAATTGAAAATAAGTCGAGGAAACTTCATCCTCCTTTTCTTCGGCTGCATCACATTAGCTGTGCTCTATGAATTTCCACTGGGTAAATAATTGCACTGAGCTCCCAGGAGAGGTCAGCAGATGTAACTGCCCTGAGAGTCATTATTATATATTACATCATCTAATGTTACAGAGCTGACTCATTATGTGGATATAAAATGTAGGCCTGCTTCTCTCATGTGTATTCACAGGGAAATGATGACACTGACATTATTTATTCTAAGGTACAGTGTGTCAACGGGAAGCTGTTTGCAGTCTCTGCTTTGTCTAATGCTGGGTTTAAGGGGACGCTTTGGGTTCAGGGGAAGCCTGGAGGACCAGTGATGGGGGTTTAAGGGTTTTGGGTCTTTGAGTTGAAATATTAGGGCTGTATGATGAGAGCTGTAAGCTGTACAGTTTTAGGCTTGTTAGCAAGAGACCTACTTCTACTAATCTGATAGAATGAGCCAAAAGTGAACTCTTCTGTTCCCTTCATTCCTCTCTTGCTTCTCTCTTCTCCTCACCACCTGCCTTTTTTCCCCGCACTCCATCTGTTGTTCGCTTTATCTCCGTATACCCTCATGCATGCCTTTAACTCTGCAGCCTCTCTGCATATCTCCAAATATCAGTCTTCTCCTGGAGTTGGAAGAAATTGATTAAAAGTGTATTAGAGAGCGGGAGCTCAAGTCGGAGATGAGTTTGAACTTGGTTGGAAAGAAGTTGAAGACATGGAATTTTAAGAACTCCTCTAAAACAGCGTTTAGGGGGTAGAAGAGCACACACACTTCAGCTACAAGCAGAACACGGAGGTGAGTATTCAAAAGGCTGATTACAGTCGCTTTCAAAAATGCTGTGGTTCAACTCTGATGGGAATGAAATTGAAATAATCTCAGATTAGATCGTTTTGCAAGTCTGGTTAATGTATATCTGACAATGGCAAATGCATTGAAAGGACCATAAGGGGAGAAGAAGAAATGTTGCAAATTATATCGGCCGATATTAGCATATCGATTTACCATTGGTGTTGGCTAAGTTTATCTCCAATATAAGACAATATTACTAAATTATTCATATCTTTCTACCTCTACAGATCTTAGAAAGATATTGGACAATATATTGGTGTCAGATTTTATTCTTCCCAACATCGATATCGGTATCGGCCCCAAAAATTCAATATCGGTTGGGCACTAATAAACATCCATGCTTTAACTTCACCACACTATGTATTTGCAAAAGAGATGCTTTAACACTATTGGATGTTTTTTGATTTATTTGCATTTCCTGTAATTATTTTGTCTGTTTCTCCTAATGAAAAGCTTTTGGCTCTTTCTAGCAAGTCTTCTCTTCTCACCCTATGCACAAGAGTGCAACTACTTCAATTTATTATACATCATGTCATTATTCACATGCTCAACTCATGAATACTGTGACTACAGATGATTAAAAACATGTGGTTAATCAAACAGCACGAAACTCAAACCAGTCATTTTAACTGGATGAAAAGTCAGTGACCGATGAAATAGAGCTGGAGGGGCTAGATGTGCTGTGCGGGGTTTAATATAGAGCAACAATCACTTTTACTTTTAATGCCTTTTGATGCTTGACTTCTCCTTAATAACCAACAACATAATGGGCATTTCAAATTTGGTAGGTTGTCTGAAATGTTGGCACAAATAGAACAACAAAATATTATGCATGAGTGATAAAAATCTTATAATAATAGCATAATCAGCAGGCTCAAAGGGCAGCAAATGTACCCAGGTATTTCTACATGCTTTTTTTTTGGGGGGGGGGGGGTTGTTGTATGTGAGTGCATGTGAGTGTGTGCATGTTATATTTCGTATAAAAGAGGGTACAGAACTCCAGAGCAGGGTTCGTCCATCTTGCTTCCAGCAACACACAATAAACTGACATCTTATTAGGTGGTATTATTACATACAACCTCTCACACGACCATTTTACCCAGGCAGTGCTCATATCCTCTGCTCCGTCTGTCCTCAGTGGCAGAGAAAATTCATCTCAGGGGGATCTTATCTGATCTAACTCTGTCTAATGAAGCACTCTGTTGAAGCTGAGACGTCGCAGGGTTCCCTTCCCTGCTTATGCCAGCTGGGTACAACAGAGGCGGCACGGCTTTGTGCTCTGCGGCGAGAGTCACGCAGAGGAGGCATCAAACTAAGACACAGCAAGATGGTTGGCATCTGCTGTTGGCATATTGGCCCCTGATAGGGAACAATAAACACAGCCTAAATACAATCTCCCCCTGACTCTCAGATTCAAATCAACGTCCCACCGCAAGGCACTGCAAAATGCACTCTCACACGAGTTGTCTGAGCAAACAAGGGAACACACAGTTTGCAGGAAGCACGTGGGCGCAAACAAACAGCCAAGAGCTGACGTGTAAATACAATATGTTTGCTTGAGAAGAAGGACAACCGCTTGGCAGAAAATAATAGCCAGTACAAATGTGGCAGCTCTGCTTTCAAATCAAGACATTACTCAGAGACATTTCTTCCCACAGGAAAGTGAAAAGGCAATAATTAAGTCAAAAACCCCAGAAATAAATCTACATTCAGCATGTTTTTCCTATTTCAAATGGACTCTATGTTTCTAAATATGAACTACAGAAAATAAGCTCCCTTTTGCTAACATTGGATTTACTTTGGAGCCTGACCTTGCTCTCAGAGTAATGGCTTTGGAAGTACCTGAGTTAAAAATTGTAGATTTCATCTTACGTAAGATGCATTGGAGCTTGACATTCATTGGATTCCATCAAGTTCAGACCAGAATTTGTACACAGCACGAGAATCATCAACGACACTTAGACAACATTAAAGAGAGAAGAACACTGCACACCGCAGTGCTTTGAGACTGTCTGCAAAGCGTGTGCATAATGTTTGTTTCCAACAATCACCGTCTCCAGGCAAAGGCAAGATATCTGAGGACACAGGACACACTGCAACCGTCTTTAATGATTCTGTGTGTGGGTTATTAGACCTGCAGCATGAAATCTGCCAGAGGAACTCACGCTCTTTCTGTGAGATGCAGCAGCATTGGAAAGCCATTAGAAACACCAGTCAATTACGATGCCCGATGGATGGATTTTCCAGTCAAGCGTGGTTAAGCTCAACATAAACTAATGGGGAGTCTTTAAATGAGCTTGACCTGCATATGATTTTAATTAGCTTTCCTGCCCTAAAGGCTTCCATTAACTGTTTGAAAAAATCAATAGAGCCAGTATTGATGCTGTGCGAGAGCTTAAACGATGTCCTAACACTCCACTGATTCTGTGGTGATAGAGAGATAGAGTGGGAGAGACACACACAAAAACAATATAGGGGCTCTTGTTTATGGCTGTCATATTGATATGTGTCTCTTTTTCTGTATGTCTGGTTGTGTTTTTCTCAAAGCTCAAACTCAAACTGGTCTTTCAGCAAGCATCTATGTGAGTGAACAGCATGAAGAGGTTGACTGAAAGAAAGACATGCTGGTGCTGATATTGTGTACAAACATACAAATGTTCTCTCTTTACATTTTCCTGGTAGTTAAATACCATCCAAGCCAAGCATCACCTCCCAATGACAGGTCTATATCAGCGTCAGAAGCAATTCAAGGAATGACTTGATGAACGAAAGTTGTCTTCAGTGTTAGCACCG